ATTCCTTGCCTGCAAGGTGCTCTCTCTTTTTTTTCCGCCTCACCTCAACCCCCGGAAAAGTTTTCTCTCCTTCCCCCTCTCCTTTCTCTCCCCACTCTTCATCAAATCTCTTTCTCCAGCTGCATCTCTCCTTCCCTTTCCTTAAAAAAAAATTGGGGAAAGAAAAATATTTTTTGCTAGCCTGAGTCTGTTTGGAATGTCCGGAATTTATCTTGAAATGGTTTGGTAATTTAATCCTTTATACCCTAAAAGGATCTCGCTTAAAAATCTGATGTGAGGCAGGAGGAATAGTGTTCAATCCAATTTAATTTTAAAGTAAATCTTAACGTTATTCATGTAAAAATAAGAATCTATTTAGGTCTAAAAACTATTACCTATTATTATTCTGAGAATTTAAAGTTTCTCTTTGTTCTAGTTTAGCTAATCTGTGAAATATTTTAAGGCTCTCATAGCCATTAAATTCATTTATTTTTTCATGTTCTTCTTGAAGCTCAGATAAAAACATTGGTTGAGTTTTTTGTAGAGTGAGAATGGTGGCCCATTATCTCAGCCTGATATAATTTGCATCATTCACATCGAGTCAAGTTTTCATACCCCTGCTCATTCCAACTTACAGTACACGTAGACAAATTTCTTTGTCCCAAGTTTCTTTTTTGCTAATCGTTTGTCATATAATACTTTTTTATAAAAATAATTTTTCTAATATTTTGTTATAATTTAATATTCTAGCGAACTTTATAAATATTTTCGTTTTATTTTATTTAAATTTTAAAATATTAGAATCATTATATTTTTTTGTCAAATATCACAGTCTAAGTTAATGCTAAATAGACATTAAAAAAAATTTTTAAAATGTGGAACTTAATAAATGTCACGATAAATTTCGAAGAAAGCCTTTCTGAAAAGTCAGCCACATGTTTCAATATTTTTTATAGGTGCAAGGACTCCTGTTTCCTCACCTCGCCCATCCGCCACCCCACCCACTTTTCGCTCTCCCTTTTCTCTGTGTGTTTGTGTGTGTGTGTGTGTGCATGTCCTGCGCTCTCTGGCCGCTCTTGCGAAAAGGGTGTGTACCGGCAGGACTCCAGAGAGCGATAAGGACGGCGAGAGAAAGAGAGGCAAGACACTGGTGCAAGGATACTCGGTGGTGGCAGCGCCTGGCGCTCTCTTTCCCATTTCGCCGGATCGCTCCGTCTCTGTTGCACGCATCGCTGCTTTTGGGGGCCGGCGACAAGGATGCAAGGATACGGCGAGGATACGGCACGAAACGGCAAGGCAAACGGCTGGGCTGGATAAATATACATTCGTATGTAGATATCGGCCTGCGGCCCAAGTCCTGGCGCTCTATTCCTCCAGTCGATTCAGTCGTACGTGTTCGTTCGTTGCTTTCGTTCGGTTTTGATTCCATTCGGTTGTGTTTCTCGTTCGAGAACATTCATTTATAATTTTTTACTCCTCTGCACCGGTTTTTGTGTTGTATATATACTTCTATATATGTATGTTCAGTTACGAATTTGTTGTGTTCTCGGTTTTTTACCCAAAACTACAAACTGCAAACAAGCCACAAACTAGAAACCAAACAAAGCAATAAAAAAGACCGTGCAATTCCCGGGACTCGACTTCGATAATTGTGCAATATACACATTATATATAGAATAGAACACTTGGCAAGAGTTGGACCCTAGTCAAATCCCCATTTTCTTTCGCATTTTTTTCGAGTGTGTGCCTCGAGTGTCTGACTAAAAGAACAAACTACGACAGATCCACTATATATATATATATATATTATATAGTCAGGAAATCGTCTGACAAAGGAGCGTGCAGGCCAGAAAAAGAGAGAGCGAGCAAGCGAGCGAGTCGACGCGAAAGAAAGTTTTTGTGCAATCAATATACATCTATTATATAGTCGGACCCCCTCCCACGCCCACTCACTGTATGACAGTGCTACTCCTCAACCGCACCTCGTAGCCAGAATTTCTCGACTTCGTCTCGCCAGCGGAGCACGTAAGTGGTAATGCCATGATCTAATCAACTTTTATCAAGCCATCTATATTTATTCTTGGGCAAACGCCTGCGAAAATAAATCGATAAGGGGGCCATTGAAAATTTCCATGACATCTTTTATTTGTTTTTCCTTCGCTTACGTTGCGCTGTAAAATATTGCCAGTTCGAGCAGCTGGTCATTGTAAAACGTTTAAAAAAGCCAGGAAAATGTCTCAAGCTTTGAATAAGAATCCTTAAATATTACTTTTTATATAACAATTATTAAAAACAAAATTATTTATATTTAAAGTATTTTATTAACTTTCCGATCGATTTTTATTTTAGGTTTTTCAGCAATTTTTAAGTTTGTTAGGCATTTTATGTGGAATCTTTCAATTTTTTACATTATTTTACAATATTAAAGGAAGCTTCTTTAGCTTTTCGTAGCACTTTACTGTAGCATTAAAATGTAGTTCCTAAACATACAAAAGATTATTATAAATTATTTCTGTTACGAAATTAAAAAATATCATCAAAAGGTATTCTTATTTATTAACTCCAATCAAAAGTTTAGTGTTTTTTTAGATTAATAATGTCCATTAATAATTTACTTATAGAGAAGGCAAGACACTCGATGTTTTAGGACCTAATCATACAATCACACATTCCTAATTAAACATTTTAAAAGGAATTAAGAGCACTTTTTAATTTCTTTTCGAATAAACGAAATACACCGGCATCTATCTGGCTTATAAATGCACGGCTCAAGGACTTTCTCCATCCATTTTCAGGGACCTGAGGAGTCATATGGGTATCCTGACCCTCCTCAAGGCCCTCGACGAATGCCAACCGACACACATTCGCAAATGAGGTCACAGATATCGGCGCAAAAGTGTCAATTACACATTTTTCTCGTCTCCTTCGTCGTCTTCTTTTCACACACCGGGCAGCGGGGGGTTAACCGAGGCGAGGGGGCGGGGCATTAGGGGGTTAAGGGGGCCGTAAGCATTATCCTGCGTCACGCCATGCTGTGCAATTAAAGGATGTCCCCGGCTCGAATCCTGCATCCAGTGCACTTCCCATTGTTCGCGTTGCCTTTTGTGCAATGTTCTTTTCATCTCGCCCCTCACCTCGATACACTGCGAGAAAAGGAAATTGAAAGTATAAAATATGAGCCAGAATATGATATTCTATTTTCCTTAAGTTTTCATGGACAATAACATATCACCCTTTCTTTTATGTATTATAATGAAGTTTTACATTTTATTTTTGTCTAATACAACAAATTTATTAGAAATACTGGACTTGGGTCCCCATATTTTTGTTGATTGAAATACTTGCTCCATTTTCGCTCAGTGATTATTGCTGGTAACCCAGTGTTGCACCTTTTATCGGGTTCAACGAACGCAATAACAGCTGTTGGGACCCAAACCTCATTTAACGTGCCACGATCCTTGCACAGAGCGAAAATAGGCAAGCAGTCATGGGAGTGGGAAATGTGGAAAAGACAGAGGCGGAAAACTGGAAAACCGAAAGCCAAAGGCAAAGCCAAAGGCAAAGCCAAAGGCAAAGGCAAACCCAAACACGGGCACACGGGGGTTCAATGACCCGGTACAGGACATTATGGCAGGACATGCGGCTCGTTTGTTTGTTTTTCGCGTCAGGTTTTTACCCTATTTTCAATGCAGTCCTTTTCACAAACACGCACACATAGATGCCGGCGGCCAGGATCTAGGAAGTCCTTCCTTGCCCTTTCAACCCCTAACAAAAGTTCCAATTGGAAACAAAAGTGAACAAATCACAATGGGATACAACTATTCTGATACGAAACCGAAAATACTTTTCAAAATTAAAAGGAATGAAATAACATATTTAAACTAATATTTGTAATACTATAATTTTACCATTCAATTTAAAGTTTAGTAAACATTTTTTTTATGTTGAATAATAAACTGAATACAACGTTTGTAAAATAAGAAAACAACAATTTATACATAAGGTTTTCAATTAATACGTTCTAGTTAAAAAAATTCTAGCTTAATCTCCGAAGCAAATGTAAATTCTTTAAAGTTTAATTGAAAACTGCTATAAAGGATTACGTGATGGGAATTTCTCCCTGTTTTGTAGTAAACACAAGTTACCATTTGACACGTATTTTTTTAATGCGATTTGGTTTCTGGCGATTGCATTGTTCTCTGCCGATTGGTGTGGAGGGAGCAGTAATGTCCATTACGCAGGGTTAGCATCTTTCGATTCATATCATATATCAGGACATTACACATGGGATGTCATATCGCATCTACCTACAGCGATTTAATTAAATTCCAAGCCATTAGGCGAGTGTTTTGTGCTGACAAAAAGTGGCATTGTTGTTTGATAAACAGATTTCGCCGTTGACTTACCCTTGTCTCTGGAATTTCGAGGGGTGGGGGTGGTGCTCACTGTAGTGGTGGTGGTGGTGGTGGTGGTGGTCGTGACAGTAGTCACTCGGTGTCCTTGCCAACTCGTGTGTGAAACACGCTTATCGGTCTCCTTTCATCGGGAGAGCACCCATATTGTCGAATTGAATGGCCCGCGAAAATGAGACGGCATTTGAAAAGGTTTTCCAGCTAAAAAGTGCCAAAGTGCTAGTGTTATTACCCCCGAGAAAGATTACCAAAGTTAGCAGCTAAATTAGGGAATTGTGTTTGTGAAGTCGACTGAAATGGTTTCAGTATGTTGTCATTAAAGTAAAGATAGCTTTTAAAATTCCTTAATGGAAACATCTTCCCCTATTATTTTCTATTTTCTACAGAACAAAATTTGAATTGTGTAGAAGATTACTATTTTATTTACTTTAAAAATTAAGGAGCAGAATATTGTAAAGAAGTATGTGAAATAGTCTATAATTATAATTTTCCATCCAAAAAATGGTTAGAAAAAACATAAAACTTATATTTCTTTTTATAAACAATATATAATATTTTTGTGTCGTACCTGTAATATATATTCACATTTTTCACATATTTTTTTTGCAGATTGAGTGAAAACGAGCGAGCAATCGAACAGCCATCATTTATCAGAAAAAAAGACACGGATCACCGGAAAAGAGGGAGATTTTTTAACTGCAGACGGAAAAGCAAGGAAAAAGGAGTCGAAAATAAAACGGAGGGGAAGTCAACAAAAACCAAACACCACCAAATAAAACCAACTACTATTAATTTAAAGCAAACATAAACGAATAATCATATTCAAGCGGTATATATATACAAGAGGATAACGGATAACACAACTAACTATATATATACGATATATGAATGTATATTTGAAAACCAAAGCTAAGTTCCAGTCAAAGAAAAACAAAAAACCAGCGCAAATTTAGTAAAAGTATAATAAAAGGAAAAACCAAATTATTGCTATCTTTTTGCATTTTTGCAATTTTATAAAAAGTATAACAAAGAAAAGGAAAAAGAAAACCCAAAAACTACAACTAAAGATCATAATAAACTTTAACATTCGGAGAAGCAAAAAAAAAAGAACAAGTAAACACATTTAGCAAAATTTACTCTTTTATCTAAACGAAAACAAAAACAAAAAAACAAAAAGATCAAAGTAAAATTTAATTCAAGCATAAATTAAATTTTAAACGTTTTAGACAGAGAACGCTCTAAACTTAAAAAGCAAATACATTTTTTTCGCGATCGTAGTTGATCTAAAACCCCCAACAAATCGAAACAAAAATCAGCGGCAAATAAAAAACCAAAAAAGAATTCAAGCGGGACTTGTGCAAAGCGCAATCGCATATAAAACAAAAGGTTAAAAAAGCCCCCGAATCAAGCAACCGAGCAGTGAGATTAACTACTAACCGAAAGGACTTAACCAGGAGCAAGGATCAGGATGACCAACGCCATGGACATCGTGAAGAACGGCAGTGCCAACGGCTCCGTCGACGGCAGCAATGATGAGTCGCGCACCAATTTGATCGTCAACTATCTGCCGCAAACCATGACGCAGGAGGAGATGCGATCGCTCTTCTCCAGCATCGGTGAGCTCGAGAGTTGCAAACTGGTGCGTGATAAAGTCTCAGGTAATTTGGGTAAATATTGACCAATGCTTCTACTACTACATCTAAGAACTTTCTTTCTTTTCGCTCCCTCAAGTTGGTTGTTAGTTGTGTTATAAATACAATCAGCTTGAGGTGGTAAACAAATTTATTACAAACTAGATATGTATGTTTGCTGATTTTAATATTATATTGGGTTGGCAAGAAAGTAATGTCGTTTTTTTTATCACTCGTTTTTAATCTAATTTATTAACGACTAATCGAGCACCAGGGTCAAACTTTTTAGTATCGTTTTAAAGCTTATTGTCTTAGGTACTTTCGACAATAATTTAGTAATTATTCGATAACATTTGTGGAAGCTATAGCAAATTAAACATGGAGGACCAAAGTGAGCATTTTCGGCATATTTTGCTTTTTTACTTCCAAAAAGGAAAAAAAGCGGTCGAAGCTCGCGAAAAATGGTGCGAAGTGTATGGTAAAGATGCCATGAGTGATCGCCAATGTCAGCGCTGGTTTGCCAAATTCAGGCTTGGAGATTTTGGAGTTAAAGACGCCCCACGTTCTGGTCGACCATCGGCCGTTTTTGACGAACAAATTCAGGCTTTGCTGGATGAAAACCGGCGTTATTCAACGCGGGAGATGTCAGAGAAGCTCAGTGTGTCGCATACAACGGTTGAAAACCATTTGAAGAAACTTGGCAACGTAAGCAAGCTCGATGTTTGGGTTCCGCATAACTTAAAGGAAATTCACCTTACTAAGCGTATCAACATCTGCTATTCTCTGCTGCAACGGATTAAAAACGATCCTTTTTTGAAGCGGATCATTACTGGCGACGAAAAGTGGGTTGTTTACAATAATGTCCAACAAAAAAGATCATGGAGCAAGAAAGATGAGCCAGCCCAAGCCACATCAAAGGCCGATATCCATCAGAGGAAAGTTATGCTGTCTGTTTGGTGGAATTGGAAGGGTGTAGTGCACTTTGAGCTGCTGGGACGGGATGAAACCATCAATTCAGATGTGTACTGTCGCCAGCTATTCAATTTGGCGGAAAAAATTAAAGAAAAGCAGCCGGCACTAGCTAATCGCAAGGGTATAGTCTTTCACCATGACAACGCTAGGCCCCACACATCTTTGGTCACTCGTCAAAAATTAACGGAGCTGAATTGGGAAGTGCTACCACATCCACCTTATAGTCCGGACTTAGCACCTTCAGATTACCATTTGTTTCGCTCTCTTCAAAACTCTTTGAATGGTAAAAACTTTGATTCAGATGAGGCTGTCGAAACCCACTTGTCCCGATTCTTTGCTGGAAAAGACCAAAAGTTCTTCGAGCGCGGAATTATGCGACTGCCCGAGAGATGGTCATTAGTGGTCTAACAAAACGACCAATACATAATTGATTAATTATAAGTCCTGATATAAATAAATCATCTTTGAAAATATTGAAAAAAAACGACATGACTTTCTTGCCAACCCAATACATTGCGTATGCAACTTTATTTATTGTATTTTGTATTTTCCATTTTGTGATTTTTAATGGTTTTCAGCATTGTGACAAACTGAGAATTTCCAGAACACATTACTTAGTTAATTTTGATCCGATTCCAAAGAGGCATACCTCTAAACGTTTGTAATCGCATCCTTGGCCAAACTGCATTCATTCCATTTTCCGATTTTAATAAAAAGCATGAAATTTGATTTCCCATTATTTCTCCATACCTTTTTCTTAGACTTTTCAAGTGCATATGTATTAATATTTAATTTTACACTTACTTCCAGTCTTGCCAGCATCGTTGACCGCTCTCAACCCGGCACTGCAGCAAGGTAAATATCTAGAAATAAAACTCCAACAGTCATTATCATCCCTGACCATTACTTTCGATCCGATTCAGGTCAGAGTCTGGGCTATGGCTTTGTTAATTACGTTCGGGCCGAGGATGCTGAGAAGGCTGTGAACACCCTGAACGGTCTGCGTTTGCAGAATAAGGTTATTAAAGTATCATACGCCCGTCCAAGCTCAGAATCTATTAAGGGTGCTAATTTATATGTATCGGGTCTTCCGAAAAATCTATCACAACCAGACTTGGAGGGGATGTTTGCTTCGTTCGGCAAAATAATTACTTCTCGTATACTCTGTGATAATATTTCTGGTAAGTAATTATTTTACACAAATCAATCCCTAAAATTAAATATTAAAATACATTGCAAATACAATTTAGCTTTAATTTTATTTATGAGATTTTTGATATGAATAATGATTTACTAAAACTTCAAATGCCCTAATTTCTGTGTCTAATTGTCAGTTCTAATCAAAAAATACTTATTTGAAATATATTAAATTTGTTTTATAATTTTAAATTCAAGGTCTATCAAAGGGCGTCGGTTTTATCCGTTTCGATCAGCGCAACGAAGCCGAGCGGGCCATCCAGGAGCTAAATGGCAAGACACCGAAGGGTTATGCCGAACCGATCACCGTCAAGTTCGCCAATAATCCCAGCAATAGCGCCAAGGCCCAGATCGCCCCGCCCCTTACCGCCTACTTAACCCCACAGGCGGCAGCGGCCACCCGACGTTTGGCCGGAGCTCTGCCCTCCGCCGGTCGCATAAGGTTTGTATATAAAATCAATAATTATATTAAAATAAACGATTTAATGTAGGAAAAATTTTAATAATTTAAAAAACAAGATTTATGCTGGTACAAAATAAGCCAACAAATATTTTTGAGATTGAATATTACTGCTAAAAAAAGAACTCATCTTAAATATTCATTTCAATGTACATATTAAATTTATTTACAATGAATAAAACCCCATTGCGATTTTATATTTCTTTTATTTTTTGCCAGCATAAATAGTGAGATTCAATAAAACCATATTTATTATATGTTTAATATTTACATTTATAAGCCCACTACCAATATCATATAGAAAATAAGAATTGGTCGATTTAAGTGTCCGATTGCTTTTCCGGTTGTGTTTTCCCATCCATAGCAGACAGAACCTTGGAACGTTCTTCAAATATTTTAATTTACTTTAAGTACAAATACCTAAGTTAACGTAAATAAAATCTTAATTTTCGTTGGTACGTATATTTTGCCATTTCATATTTTGCCATAATTTGTATTTATTATCGAAACCATTTTGTTACTTCTTTTTTCTTTCTTTGTCTCTTTAAAATACTTTTTATCATCATTTTTAGCATTGGAAAGAGTCCCATGTTAGCGATTAACAAGGGCCTACGAAGGTGAATTTATTGATCTTGATTATTTTACATGCTATATTTATTTGGCTGAAAATAGAGAAATATAATCAGATTTATATATGAGTGTCTAGCAATAATTTTTCTACTTATTTACAACGTTTGTATATACTATATTTATGTTTCCCTTCATCTACCTATTATTTGTAACTATTTTTTATTTGCCTACACCGATTTGGCTTTTTATTTTGTTTGTTTGCATGTGAAAATTAACTTTGATGTTTGAGTTTTTTTTTGTTATTTATATATTTATCTGTATTTGAAGGAAAAATATTATTAGTGAAGCCAATACTTAATTAAGGTAAATTACATTTTCTTTGAATTTCTTTTGATATTTTTTGGTTAAGTTACGAATTATTCTATTTCTTTCTTGTGTGTTCAGCATGAACCTTAAAACTCCAGATGTCGAAAGCACAATTTTTTTTTTAGAAATAAAAAATATCGTAAAATATTTAAATTGTGTAAAGCAAAATATTTATTTGTTACAAAAAAGTATGTGAAAAATGGACAGGTATATTTTTCCCGTTACTCAGCATGTAGCTTGAAAGCCCAAACAAAAAAAAAGGATCAGAATGTGATAGTTATGTGTAAAGGAGGGGATAGGAACAAATATTGATGTAAAGTACAAAAACTAATTTATTTACCATACTAACTGATTTTTTTTCTTTATCCCCGCCATCGTTTGGAATTGCCACTCCATTTTAGGTACTCACCGCTGGCCGGAGACCTGTTGGCCAACTCGATTTTGCCGGGGAACGCAATGACCGGATCGGGCTGGTGTATATTCGTATATAATCTGGCTCCCGAGACCGAGGAGAATGTGCTGTGGCAGCTGTTTGGACCCTTCGGGGCCGTGCAATCGGTGAAGGTGATCAGGGATCTGCAGACCAGCAAGTGCAAGGGATTCGGATTCGTGACAATGACCAACTACGACGAGGCCGTGGTGGCCATCCAATCGCTCAATGGATATACCCTGGGCAATCGGGTGCTCCAGGTCAGCTTTAAGACTAACAAGACCAAGACCACTTAGGCGAACGCGCCATCCTGGGCTCGACCTCTCCAATACTCCATGATCTGTTTGATTTGACGAACCTAGACTATAGATATCGATCCGATGTGACAGCGTAGTCGAAATTGCGAACAAAAACAAAAATTAGCGCGAGTTTATGATCTCTATCATTTGATTTGTACGCTAAACGAAATTATTATGATTGTAATTCTAACGAAATCTTAGTGAAAATTGATTTATTTCCATCTGTATAATTTAATTCTATTAACTCTAAACCAAGAAACCAAAACAAAAACAAAAAAACAAAACAAAGCTTGAATGAGGCAACCAAAAAACACAACACAGAAACTAAGGCAAACTTTAGAAAAAAATGATGAACAAGACGACAAACTGTCTATAAATTGACAAAATGGGAAATATGAGATGGTATTAAGGTCAAAGGGAAAAACCAAAACCAAACAAAAAACGAAAAATTAAAAAACCTCAAAAATATGAATGAGAAATGAAAAATGATGAAAAAATGATCTAAGTCGCAATATATAGTAACTATTTTTTTTTAAAACTTATGTATATGTAATTCAATTCGATTATATTCAATTAAACAGAGTATTTAAACAAGCTAACCAAATGATTTAATGTCTACTGATTTAAGATTTACCAACATTACTCTCTCAGCTTACCTAAGTACTTATTATAATGAATATGCATAAATATATTGTATTGTATTGTATTTTGTGTTCGTTTTGCAACCTTACCTTACATTACATTACATTACATTAATTCTAGTGCTATTCAGCTCTTATATTTAATTCGATTCGCCTTGATTTACACTCGAAGACGAAACGATAATCGAAAATCGAAGATAAAGCCGCGATATATCCTACAAACGTAACAACAACAATGACCCCAGCACGTACACACTCACTCGTAACCATTATTATATATATGTAACCAGATTTAATTACCTTTTTTTCGTCGTCTAAGATTCGTATTCGTATTCGTCAAGTGCAAACCAAAGTAAATGAAACCAAGAAAACTTATTATATTATATTACATTATATATTATTACGCCTACTTATTATTCCATTTTTATAATTATTATAACTTATTGAATGCAACCAAGCGAAACCAAACAAAACCAAACAAAAAAAACATAACTACAACTAAAAATATATATTTATTATTAAATAAATGTGTGACTTATTCCAAAAACTATGCAAAAAAAAAAAAAAAAAAAAACACAAAAACTAAACACAAAAATTTGTTTTCTTATTTTTCTCCAATATCCACACAAACACCTAAACTAGAGCTGGCAAAACTTTGATAGATCAATAGGTAGTATCGATTTTTTCTGCAATCGCAAGAAAAGTTCTCACAAACCAATGCTTCGATATGTTAATTTTTTCCAAATCGATGGTTAGTTGAATTTTCAAAACACTAATAAACAATCACCTTTCGATAATTTCGATGTTTTCGATATCACTATTATATTTTGTCGATGTTTTGCCAGCTTTAACCTGTACCCACCTGAAAATTGGCAATATTGCAGGCAAAACGCTTTCACAGTTGAAGTGATCATTGAATATTTGGATTGGATTGAAGATATATCGAATATGGTCAGCTAAAATCGGAACTTCAGCCGTGCAAGTCGCTTCACACAACAAACAACAAACACCAAACACACAACAACAGCACTCGCATTTAAACAGAGATATTTAAAATACGAACTAAGTTTAAACGCTCTTTGAAGTATAACTAAGTTTTAACTAAGTTTTACGCCTATATAAATAGAAATCTAACTCCACACGAACTATATGTACGCGCATCTATATAAATTCAGACAAATAGATTGTTTATTCGATTTTCCAATCCGATACTCTTGTTTCCAAATCAAAATCCAAATACAAATCCAAGATCATTTAGTAGAGTCCACCAACAATCAATGTGTGTCTGTAGTTTAACTGATGACGAGAAAAAACGAGTGGATTGAAGAACATTTTTTAAGAAGCAAACATTTTTTTGGTGTACTTAGGGCTTAAGGGTCAGGCCACATCTACATGGCAATCGGCCATGAGGCGAAAAACACAAAAAATAATAATAAATACAACAAAATGAAAATGAAGAAGAATATACTTTAAACTAGGAAAAACCAAGTAAAACAAAAGAAGAAACTCAAGCTAAGAGGAAGTTGCGAGCGCAAGTTGAAAACACCAAATTTTTAAATATATAATATAAATGATGTAAAATTTTTTAAACAAAGATTTATAGTAAAATTTATTAAATTATATATATATATATACACATATATATATATTAAGTATGTATAACGATATATACAAAATACACAAGGATAAGAGAATCAAGAGAAACCACTATGGAATCGCAAAATTCAATGGAATATGAGCAAGATAAAATGTGAAATACATTAAAAAAATACCTAAAATTACCTAAAAACGAAAAATCAGCAGAAGACCGGAAGTCCTCGAAAGCAAACTGCTTGCAAAGAGTGCGCCCCGTTTACGGGCGGTGAAAGCAAGCAGTGAACCCCGCTGGGACTTGCCAAAAAGAGATAAACAAACAAATGATCTTCAACCGACAGCTGATTCGTTTTCCACTTCCCGGCGACTAGTTAACCTATTCAATACTCAATATGGCATATGGAATAATCAAGTAATCAAGTAATATCCGCAAAATAACCGCCGCAACGCTGCTGCGCAGGCGCGTGTGTCATTCACAAAAGCAATATGGAGATGTGGCGCGAGTTGGCTGTTTTGGCCCATGCTGACTTACTATATATATACATATATATCGGACGGAGGGAGGCGAACGGAACGCAGTTGTACAAATCGCAACTCAGCGACTCGGTCACATTCATTCACGGCACCTATGCCGCCACTTACAATTTACGATTTACCCGAAAAAAACAAAAAAAAAAAAAAAATAAATAAAACACACACACACACACCCATATTAACCAAAGCATATTAGTTTTAAAACAGCTAATGCAGCAAAACAAAAAACGAAAAACAGAAATACGCAAATTCACACACCAATCAGTTGGCGGAGGTTCTTCGATATTAATTTTAGTGAAAAAAAAGAAAAACAGCAGAATGCTAAACTAAAAACTGAACCCAACAATGAAAATCATCAACTAAGCATGAAATGCATTTAAAAATTAAATACAACAAATACATATTTATATATATATAGATGTACATGTCTATTTGTATGGCCAGGATAGTGAAAAATATGAAATTATATAGCCCCGATAACAGAATTGAGAAAACCGTAACAGAGCAACACCAAAAACGAAGAATTTGAACGTAAAAAATAAACCGAAACAAAATCAACTCGAAAGTGAAAGTGAAGCGACTTAGCAACGCCTCCCGAAGCTACACCCGAAAATCAACTTCCAACATTTTTATTGATATACACTAAAATCTAGAGACGTAAGGCGATTTCATCGATACCAAAATCTAAGCTAAGACGAAATTGCATGCAAGTTAAGCGAATACGAAACTTCAATTTAGTGTGTAAGCATCAAGAAAAATGCGACAAAATAAGCAAATTACTGAAATAAGGGAAAACCAGGCCAAAAGCGGTGAAAGCCGGAAATGAAATAAAAAAGAAATAGTCGCCTGAGGCAAAGGACACGGTAAGCAGTGCACGCATGACACCAAAAGCAGTGCGGCACAAGCAGTCGATGACTTTTTACAAGCAGTTGGCAGAGATAAAATTGCTTTAGATATTAAACGGAAAAAACAATGTTAAATGATTTGCAAAATTCGATTAATTATTTAAAAAATGAACTACTATAAGAGACGACAAAAAATATACGTAGCCGCTTTGTCAGACGGAACGCGCCCAAACCAATCTAACTAACTAAGTAATAAAAACAAAAAAACAAATAAAACAAAAAATAATTGCAAAAATATTTAAATCAATTTTGTGCATAACAAAATCGATTACCGTTATGCATATATATACATATATGTAAGCCAACTATATATATATGTGTGTGTACAAGAACAAGATCACGAATCAAAAAAAAAAAAAAAAAAAATCAGAACTCCACTTCAAACTTAATTAATTATTATCCATTTGATTGTGTATGCTAATTATTATTGTCTATAGCGTATCAAACAAATATATTTATATATACTTTTCGTGCAAATCCAAGGGCAAGACCTACGTACGCATTACCCTTCGATCGTACTTATCCAATTAGTTAACCATATACCGCATACCCATGTATTTATCTTACTTTAAATATACTTACTTACTCACATTTCGATATTGTATTCGTAGCCCCTGAGTAGAACTATTTATTCAATTTATTTGTACACCCAAGTCACAAAATCCACAACCCAAAACCGCCCAGCAGCTAAAAAAAATGCTCTTACCTAAGGTATTGCATTACTTAAGAAATTTATAAGGGGCCTGCATGAATCTGGATATGTTTAACCTATACAAGTTTTTACAGAAATAAATTTTTAATAAAATTTTTCATAAAAACGATTTAAAATATTCGTAATGCGTGGAATTATTTAACCACCTTCATTTCATTGTTTTAAATAAAGTGAAAATATTCTATACCAACCATTCGAAAATATTCAAATAGAAAAGCAATGTGGATTCCTGTGGGCTTCTAATATATCTAAATGGATAGGCGCATATTTGTATGTATTTACCATAAATAAATATAGCTAACTAACACAGACAAAAGCAGACCACACTTACACCCACTAACACAATGAAGGAAACGATTCCGAGGTGACACAAATTTAGATGCATATTATTATCTAACTTATATTGCAAAACAAAAGCGATAATATGAAAACGTAAATTTTACTATACTCGTACATATAAATTATATGAATGTATGTAAATTATTATTATATTTGTATTTTATTGTATGTATTAGTTTTGTTCTACGCTCTTTTGCTCTTTCATAAACAAAAACAAAAACCAAACTCGATAACAAAAACTAAAACAAAACAACAAAAAGCCGGCAAGCAATGGTATACAAAATAAAATAAAAATATGACAAAAAAAATCGACAAAAAATGAAATAAAATTGAATGAAAATTTACCAAAAACCAATTTGTTTTTATTTTGTGGATTTTCAGCAATAAAACGCACTGATTGCAGTTAAGGGGCACAACTAGTGTGACATTTCAAAAAAATCTTTTTTTTTTTTCTTTCATATTTTGGTAGATAAAACCTTTAAAAATAACATATTAAAATTTCAAATCGATATCTTAAATAGTTTTTGAGTTATAGCAATTTTAAGAGCAGCCGCTCGTATAGCAGTGAATACGATCATTTTATCTTTAAACGCGTTTTTCTCGAAACTGCATTTTCCGAATTTGCTGCAGTGATAACTCAAAAACTAATGATCCGATCACTATCAAATTTTTTTTACGTGTTCTATATATAGTCCTCCCTACAATGACCTATCGGTTTTTTGATCTGATCAAAAATCGAATTTTGGCAGGCCAAAAACGACCAAAATTTTGGGTAAAATTTGATTTTTTTTTTTCAAAACGCCGCCATTTTGTCAATTTTTGATATTTTTTTTTATCGTAGGTCATTGTATGGACAATATCATCTAGTTTAACGAGAATTTTTCATATTTTGATTTCATCCACGGAGAAGGCCGGAATCACTGCAGCAGTTGGGGCACTTTTTTTTTTAGTGCCGTTGGAGATCGGCTCTAGCTTAAAAAATATTTAATTTTTTTCTTTAAAAATTTTACTGTATATTCTTCAAACATCTATAAATATATTCTGAAAATTTGAAAAGAATTGATCAAGTAGTTTTTTTTAAAAATTCCCAAAAATCACCATTTTTTTAGGCCGTCACACTAGTTGTGCCCCTTAACATGATTTATTCACTACGTAAGTGTGTTTGGTTAAGTGGAATAAATATCATAAATATCTGACATCTACAGCATCAAAACATTACACGTATATAAATATCTATATATCATTTATACCTTTATGAGATAGCAAAAAAAATTTTATTTAGGTACACGGGAGTACGTATCTTTTACTTTGTGACTCTGGTTATATCTGCTCACGACTCGTATCTGAATATACATATATATCGTATCATAAAATATTACATACAGTATTTTCTTTTTAAATTGAACCTACAAATTCTTGACAGTTGTTTCCCGCAATTACTCTGGATATGACATAAATAGTTTTCGGTTTCAGTGGGGACAGTTTGAAACCTTAATACTTAAAGGAAAAGCTTCACACAGGATTAACTAAATACGTATTAATATGTATGCTTTACATAAACACTAAATGCTTACATTTTTTTAAATTAAATTTAAGCTTTGACCAGTGATGCGACTTTGCACTTTTAATTAGATTTTAAAGTGTAATCAAATTTTTTACTTGAAATCAAAGAAATAATTTTCATGTTATTCATAAAAATATTACTATTACTTTTTTTAAATTTGAAACAAGAAATATCTATAAAAACAGGTTAGCTCAGCATTCTTTCTGGATTGAAAATCCCTGTGGGACAATTGTGTTTCATTTAGGAAACTATTCAAAATCTTTGCTCGGCGATGCGGTCAAGGTTTCGATCGACCCTCGCTCGATAGATTTTAAACGCCCAACTCTCGGCTGGGCGTGGTCGTGGCCATCTGTCCAGTATTACTCCCTGCAGGCGGAGCTGTGACCAAAGTGGGCATCATCTTGTTGAGGAGCGTTCGGATGGCGAAGGTCACGTCGTGGTTGACGAAGCAGAACAGGAAGGACACCACGAATCCCTGCAGACTGACCAACACCACGGAGAGCAGCTGGTAGAAGCGGTCTAGCTGGGTTCCGGCATCCGGGCGGTACGGCAGCAGGAAGTGCTGGAGTCCGAAGAGCGGCACCAGGATAATCGTGGCCCTTACCGCCTTTCGTATCGCCAGGGGAGCAGGTTGGGCGGACTGGGGGTGCAGCTTTCGCACAATCACCCGCAGAACGTTGATCAGGAAAACTGGTGAATACAAAAAAATATATTAGAAATCGTATAATATATATAAAATATAACAGAGTATAAATTACTGAAACTGGCCAGCAGGGAAAGTGTTATGGGCACTGAGAAAATCCATAGGTAGAGACTGTCATTTATCCAGCAGCTAAAAGAAATGAAATTAAGTCATATAAAGATAATAAGTAATTTTTGTTAAATAAATTGTATATTTTATTTAAGAATTAAATTAAGTAAATTAATTTAAATAGTGTTGATATACTGTTGAAGTATTGTTGTAGAATTATTGGCTAATTGGTGAGTTTGGACTGTTAATTTTTCTTTCGAGAATTGTAAACGAAATATTCATTCATTATTATTAGAGTAACTCATGTATACTCTTTTAGATTAGTTTTTTAAGTGTTCTAGAATAATTGGTCTAAAAATAGCGAGAAACGATGAATACCATTTTCTTATTCACGTTCAAGTTGTGTGAGAATCAAAAGTGCCACTGCCATGCACTTGTCGGATTGCATAAATTCGATGTGGCAGCCTTCACAAGAACTTACTGCTTATTGTCCGGACTGCTGAAGTGCCTGGCCAATCCGTAGACGATTGCGATGGGTATCGGCGAGAACCAGCTGATGACGATGAACCAGCGCATCACAATCGTGTCCTTGACAAAGACCTGGCGAGCAAAGGGAAGGGGGTGTTATTACGGCAACGGACACTCCTGACATCTCAACTTGACGGAGACGAAAGGCAGTTGGCAAAAGTTGCGATTTGCTCCGAGACAAACCGGAAGGGGAAGAGATTTGCCACGTCGACAGCAGCAGCAAATCACATCTGCCATGCACAGAAGTCGTTCATAAAGAATGCAGACTTACACGGCAATTACAAAGATTTGCATGCCAGTGTGTTCGGAAAAAGGATGACTTGAGGGCGTTTCCGGCTGACTGACTTACCACAACGAGCACCAGATGCAAGTGCAGACCCTCGCAGAACATCCAGAAGTAGTTGACCAGCATGAAATAGTGCACCACCAGATGCAGGCCAATGCACCACAGCTGAAAGAACACGATAAGTAAGTTAGGCAGTTGGGAACACTCGGGAAAATATAAGCAACTCTTCAGTTATTTTGAGTCGAAAGTGATTATCGCAATAGTAATATGTTTTTTGGCAGAACTTTATATTTTTTAAACAGTTTTTATTCCTATGTTTTCTATTTCCGCAGTATTAAAGTTATGTTGAAGTAGCGTTGGTGTAACGTTGGTGTAGCGTTGGAGTGGCTTAAATAAGTCGGAAGTTGTTAAGCTACATAGCAGCTAGTGTAAAAAGCGAGATATACTATTGTTGGTGTAATATTGGAGCTATTTTTGAGTATTATTGGAATGTTTTTGAACTCCAAACATTTACCATTCTTAGCATACATGTTTATACACATTGAAGAAGTGGTATTCCCCCAGTTTGTCTGTTAACAAAATCTCTTTTCGGTAAAGTTATTTCAGTGTATGGGTATACCACAGCTATGTTAATAATTATAATAATTTTTCAGCTTTTTTCCCCGTGCAGCTCACCTGGTTCTCGGCTATGGTTTCGGGTCGCTCCACCACCAGGCGGTACCATAAAATCCAGGCCACACAGGTGCAGGCCAACGAGGCGAAGAGGTGCACATGGATCCGGATGCGGGTGCAGCGCAGGGATCTGCGAACGGGAAATCCGACCATCAGTATCAGAAGTGGAGAACGCCCTGCCCCCCATTCGGAGCACTTACTTGAAGCCCAGAAAGATAATAATCGATATGAGCAGGGCCAGCAGGGAGAGGGCGTAGCCCTTCACGTACAACTCGTTGATGAACTGGCGAAACTGCAGTGGCAACTTTGTTGATTAATGTCCGTGTTCCCCCCAACGACGTGGTCGTCGGAGCACTTACCTCCAGGTCCTCGTAGTCCACGCAGCTGGTGTAATTGGACCAGGTCTGATTGCTCACCGGGTGACGGAACCAGGAGCCGTTCTCCAGGCAGCTATGAATGCGAAATGCTTGCGATAATTGTGACTGGCTAAGTGCGACTGCTGAGGGATTTGCGAACAAAGGCTTGCAAAGCAAAAGTTACCCAAGTTGTAAAAAGATAACTAAGCCCAGCTGGAGTGTAAAGTGAAATGAGTGCATTTCTTTCAAGCAATTTAATTGTTGTAAGCTCTAGCAAGATTTAATTATAGTAAGTTCTAGGGAGATTTTAAGGCAGTACTACTTTGTTTGTAAAACAAAGTATTGGAGTATTGTTGGTGTTAATTTATAAAACAACTCCAACATGGTATAATATTATACCAAATTGCAGTAATGCTGAGATTTTATTCTATATTGCTTTTACTTAAAATAACTTTTTATGGTTTAATCGCAATGTTTCAAAAATAGTTTATACATATTAGAATAATATTAAAATACATATCAGTTTCTCTGCAACATTTTTAAAGTGATAATGTGATTTTAAGTGTTATAAAATGTTACGTGACAAACATTTGCATAACAGTGGAAACTATATTTTTATAAATAAGACTCAATTATGCTATTCAAATAGATTTACGATTGTCACAACTTTTATAAATAAATAATGCATCCCACGACACACACAGAAAATGTAAAAATAAACTGCAAAGAACACAAGGAGTTTCCGAATTTATGCCTAGGCAAACATTTAGATTTGTGGTATGTTTATTTGACCCGAAACCATGCGCTGAATGAAAATGGTTGAAAATGGTTGTCCTCTCCTCGAGGGTGTAATACTCAGCCATTTTGGGCATTTAACTCACGTCTTGTGGGCCAGAAACTTGCTGTTGAATCCTTCGACGAAATCGGGACAATATTGACTCAGCACAGTGCCGGCGGGTGTCCGTGGCCAGCAGAGATATCCGTCAAAGTTCAGGGGGCAAAACAGACGTTCCTCCCGCTGATTTGTGGCCATCGTGGCAGTGAAAACGGTGGCCATCAGCTCCTCCTTCTCAGCGGCCTCCTCGTCCACGTGCCGCATGTCAATGGCGCCCTCGTTCAGCACCGCATCCTCCAGATACCGCGGCACCGGGCTGAAGTTGTCCGGCGCATTCGCATCCACATCGTATTCTGTGCATGGAGAGAATGCCCAGCGTAACTGGATTACTTCTATTACATCACAGACTAACTTGAAATGGTTTACTTTTCATACAAAAAGTTTTTATGTTAACTGCATGGATTTAAGTATAACTTTCAATGGTGTATAGACTTTAAAAATTAAACAAATTAATATACCTATATAATATATAAATATATATGTATAAACTATTATCTGATCGTTCGTATTTACAATTTAAGAACATGTATATAATTAGTTGTTAAACCATACAAATTCATTTATATTTTCAATTAAATTTCAACTAAAAAACTCTGCACAATAAACCATTAAATATGATCTTTCAAAATCATTAAAAATCCTATACAAAAAGTATTTTATTTATAATAGAATTGTATTTTATTCCAAGTCGTAACTTGCATTACAAAAAAAGACAGTTTAGCATCTCTTATCCATTTGTGTGTGTGTTTTTTCTAATGGAATAATTAGAATCAGATGGGCGATGTAATTTCATTTTCTCTCTTTTGGGTCTGTCTTGCCTTTTGTTATTTGTTGTGTGCCAATGTAATATGTGTGAAATCACGTATACGCCTGGTGGCCGCCACTCACCTGTTGCTGCCCCAAGTGGCACTGATGGGTCGTCTGCCTCGTATGTGACATTCTGGTATCGGTACACGCACTCGGCATACAAATGCTTTAAAAATATTCGCAGATTATCCTGCGTTTGGGCCTGCGCTGCCGTTTCCAGTTTTTCCGACCCTGAATCTGAACTCGAGGCGCCCGTTCCCATTGCGGGTGCTTTCAAGTGGGTAGCTCTTGTCATGGGTTGATGCACTGCTAAAAATAAAATAATAAATAGAAAATATTATAATTAATTACATATATATGTATATATAATCACATAAAATATAACAAGTATTGGAAAAAAAATATATGTAAGCCTATTCTAATAAATAACATAAAAAATGGAAACGATAAAAAAAAAAAAACAAATATATAATTAAAAGGAAGTTGACACCAAATATGCCAAAAAGAAGGATTATAATATATATATACCTATATATTATATATAGTCGCAAACAACAATTTAAATCCTGGAAAATAATTTCTTTTAATAAATCGCATATCAATGCAGTCCCCATTTCTCTCAGTATGTCGCGATAACGAAGGGAATTCGAGTCGCTTGTGGCTGGCCATTCGTGTGTGCATTTCTAATTTGGTTAGGCTTCAAAGAGTTGCCCGAGTTGAGATGTTATCTTGTCTGCGGGGAAATGGTGCCAAAGAAGTGGTATATATATATTTATATACAGAGACCCTTTGTCCTGTGACAAAACCATCCGTATTGGAAAAGTAATGTACGTGTGTGTGTGTGCTCCCATTTACATGCTGTAAATCAGTTTATTGTCTAATTAATAGCGTTGCTTAACCGTGTCGCTCTTTTTGCAGCAGTGGATGGGCAAACTTAATTGCATTTCGTGAGAGAGACAAAGCAAATGCCACGGGGCACAAACTCAAATGAAATGCACATCGATCGAGCGGAGGGAAAACTACAACTTGGTGGAAGGAGCCACATGTGGTGGCAAATGCGGGATGAGCTGCAAAGTTCTTGCCTAACTTGGTTATATTTTTAATCAAAACTCATTTCGCTTGATTGAGTTTCCACAGAAGCTTGCACAAACACGACGGGTGAGAGGATTTTCCCCAGGCACCCAGGACTAAACTTTAATTTGCGGCATTAATTTATTACACAGCTCGGGACAGTTGCCATGATGGAAATTGCGCTGGCAAAACATTCTTGCATGTTATTTATTTATTTTTGCAAGTGTCTCGGCCAGGCAATTAGTCCTCAGGTAAAACGAAAGAACGTGGGCAAAAGGACCACGAACAGCCTTTGTTGGCCATCAATTCAGATGCCGGACCTGAAGTCCTAATGAGCATTAATTGCATTTACATTCCCTATGAGTGGAGCCCAGCCCCACAATACTTTCAATGCAATATTGTTGCCTAATCATCGAGGGATTCTTCGAGACAAAACATAATTGAAATGGCATAGTTAATTCACGGGATTTTCCTCTGTCATCTCATTATGAACTACGCTGTACTGTAGGACTTACAATTTATTCTTAACAAAACCCCACCGAAGGGAACACTTTGTTATGGTACTTATTCCTTTGATTAATCGTTGTTAATAAGGATAATAAACTGCTTTGCTTACCCTTGAACAACAAAGGAATACATTACACCGCATACAAATTCTTAAGGATTAGGGCTTCCAAGCCATCTGGCAAGTAATAAATAGTTATGAAACGCACTGTATGGAAAACTTTACCCCAAGAAAAACGCAAGCATCTGCAACATTTTTGCCAAATTGTTTTGTTTAGCATAGTTCTCTTCAAAATTTTGTGAAGAAGAACAAAAGCCAAAGGGAAGGGTGCTCTTGTTTTTTGAAGTATCCATAAAACAAAAATAATTGGAAAACGTTTGCTTGCATAAATTATGCACGAAATTGAAATTTATTGTCAACAATGTTGAGAGCAAAAAGGAACGAGGCATTTTTTGGCAACAGGACCTCCCGCTGCATAAGATACAAATGGCCAATCAATAGTGGATGGGCGAAAAAAAAAGCTGCCGGCGGAATAATTGTATGTACACATGCTGAATATTGATGATGAATTGTTTTGTCTAGCAAGCGAAACCAAAAAAAAAATTCAGAAAAATAATAGAGGAGGAAGGAGAAGGAGGCCGTCAATGCGGTTAATGATGCTGGTGGCATTCGCAATACGGAAACGGAAATGCCACGCACTGCCAAACACCCACACACATAAACACACACACACACTCAAAGAGAAACACACACACACATGGGAAATAATACCAGTAATACGGTATGGCCATTCTTGTCGGATCAATTATAATAACAAATTACTTCATCCAGGGCGCTTGGGTCACCAAACGCAATTACACACGCTGAACTGGCCACGAATCCTTGGGAATCCTTCGGATCCTCGGGAATCCTCAGTCGGGCATAAATGTTGCCAACCTTGCGAATTATTGCACTCATTTCCCGCCAACGACTTCCCTATTTTCCCTGTGTAGCGCGAAACTTTTCGCATAAACGAAACGCACAATTAGGCGCAACCAGAAATCAAATTACTTATTTGTACTTTGTGTGCAAATATATAATTCGATTGTTTATCTAATTAAGCTGGCAAAAATTGAGTCTACTGCGGTGCGTTAATTAACAAAAATACTTGTTAAAATATTCACTCAAACATTTTCTAGCGGATTTTTAGAAATATTTTTGAAATATATACTGAAATATTTTCACCTGATTTTCAAGTAATTGTTGCCAAAAACAGGTGTTGGCCAACCACTTACATAGTCTATTTCCATTCATTTAATTCATTGAGCTGCTCGGAACGGCCGCTGCCATTCATTAAACAATTTTAAACAATTAATTCTGTTTGGACTCTCAGTTCGTCACGTACAAGAAAAAGACACGAAAAACATTCGAAACACATGGAAAAAATACGCGCTCTGTTATCGGATAAATAAATAAGCCGCTTCACTGCGATTTCATACCGTCCTGCTCTGCGTTCCGCTGGCAAGTGGCAAGTGGCACGGCATCCGGCAAAAATCGCCGAGGCTGCTGGCTTTGCCATTTTCCACATTTTCCCCATTTTTCCTCCCATTCATCAACTGTACACTTCGAAAATGTTTCAGAATTGGGAAAAAAGAATTGACTGCAATCTGTATATAATATTTAAATAGGAGTCATAATATTAAAATATCTAGTTTTCGCATTGTGGCTTTCACCTAAAAAGTAAAATATGATTTTTATTCAAAAATCTAAGATAAAAATATTGTTAAAATAAGTTAATATCAAAGTGACTTTTAAGGAACGAATTAAACAGATAAGAAAAATAATTTAACTTACTTTAATTTAATTAAAAATAATATTATATTTAATATTTATAATTAAGCAGAACGTGTACCAATATTGAACAAATGTTTTTATTGTGTAGCGGACATTGCCTTGAGTTTACTGCTTGCCAGCAACAAGTGGTTGAAAAACTGCTTTGTGTGCCGAGTAGTTTGGCTGTTAAAGGCGTGTATAACAGTTACCTTTGTGGGCGTGGCACGTACAGCTGGAAGCCATAAACTTTTAAGATTTTAAACTTTTTTAGGAGAATTTGTTTAATCATAACAAGTAGATTGGTATTTATAAACTAATTAGGTGATTCTTTGTCAAAAAAAAATGTGTTCAAATTAGTAAAATTGTGCAACTAAAACAAGTCAATCCGAAATAATTAATAAATTTTATTTTAGATAGCGGGTGTCTTAATTTCCTTATTGCTGGAAGCAAAACTATACCAAAACATGTTTAATTTATTTAAATATAGGGGAAATATTTATTGTACAAAAATCGGCGGTTGTAACCAGTTTTTCTAAGAAAACAAATGGGTAACACCCTTCAACTTCACAAAAACTGGTGTGTGTTTCACTTCAAAACCGCTGTTAAAAGTATTCGAAGCAATTACAAGGCAACTTTCTTTTTATCAAGAAGTCACCTTTACGTTTCGTCCTGAGTGAATATTTCGTTTCACTTCACTTCCATTCTCCATTCATGTAAACTTTCTCCTCGAACCCACTTCCATAAAATTTATTCATGAATTTCTTATGTCTTGCATTCCGAACGAGTACACTATACATTTTATTTTATATTTTAAAAATACTTTAAGAATAAACATTTAATACACTAAATTCCTTTTTGAATAAGAAAAGCCTGTCTTAAAAGCATAAAAAAAGTAAGAAATTCCTCTCAGTTCATTTGAAATTTCTTTTACTATCAGAAAAGTTTCATCGCATAATTTTTATAGAGAATTTCTAATATGATGATGACAAAGTAAATTTAGTTTGAGTGTATATAAATATTTTATGCGGTTTTCTACGGTTCTTTCAGAAAATTGGCACCAACTCAGAATTGATGTGTAAATTCTTTACAGCATGGACTGGAATTTAATGCAAAATGCATATTGCAATTAGGACTACACTTTGTGGTGTGAAAATTCCTGGGGTTAGGGCTTGGAAAAACCCAAGCTCGTAAAGGCGAAACTAAAGGAAACTGCGTTTGCAATATAATTTTCATTTTGTGCCGAAGTCTGCGAATATGTATGTGCGAAAGCCTGTAAATCTGTAAACACTTAACTTTTATGACTGGTCAAGAAAAAGACGAAGAGAGCGGGGAAAAGTTTACACAAGAGCTTACACTTTTTAATTGTTTGTTTACTACATTTTATTTCTTGGTTACTTGGCTTGTTGCTAAAGTGGTTTAGCAGTAATTGGACTAACCAGATTGTATACGTTTAAAGATACATGTTTAAGGATAAGAACATTGCTGCCACGACACCAAATCTGTCAAGTAAAAGCTTCTTATTTGGGATAAGGGACATTTAGTAATAAAAAACAAGTCTGGTTGTCAAGATGCCAACTGTTTGATTAAACAGGGTATTATTCTTAATATTGAAACCAAAACATTTCAGGAATCCTTGCAATATTGAGCTTCATAGCTTCATTGCTTGAATTTTAATTGAGTTAAGGGTAACTTTCTTAACTTTCGTAACTTTGCTCATACAAACTGTTAAAGAAAACTTCTATCTTCAGTTTTTAGTTTTTTAGGAAAGTAGAAAAAACTATGCGTCACTACCGATTATGTGTTATAAATTTATAAGTTGTCGTCACGATTTGTGCATTTCGGACTTGATTTGAGCTCTTATCAAATTTTGCCACAAGTAAAAAACAAGTCAAGAACAATCTGGCGCCAGTTGAGAGGGTATAAAACGCTAGTTGGAGAGTTTAAGCCCCGGCAAACACAAAGCTTTTCTAGTTAGGTAATGTTGGACTACTATTGTATACTTTATAATGTCACCGCTCGCCGGTCTCACGTTCCAAACCGATAAAGCCTAAAGAGACGGGCCAGCAAACAACAACAAAAGAGTGATGTAAAGACGGCAATCAACTGCACGTTCTGTGTAGAGCCCACTACGCAGTGGAGTTGAGTTGCTCACTAATAAAAGCGGGAATATCCGTGGTTAGAGACATCAGTCAACCATCGGCAACATGTTCCACTCTAAGTCTCACTCTAACTCGATTTCCCTGGCCAAGTTCCTCGGACTTTCGGCCTTTATCCTGGCTTTTGCCGGGGTCAAAGGTCAGTACGATTGGTATAGCGACTATTCGGTACCCGAGTTGGATTACCTCTTCGGGGATGTGGGCTACGAAGTGCAATCCTATGGACCCGCGGCAGCTGTTCAGGAATTCTATCCCAGGGGCTCACCGGTTCGGAATTATGCTCCGGTGCAATCGCCTCAGAATTCCTTTGCCTACGCCGCCGCCAGTGGTCCTTATGGAGCGAGAGCTGTTGCCGAGGCTCCTGGTCCGTATCCTGTGGCTCCATATCCCTCCGCTCCCGTCCCTCCTCCTCCAGCTAAGTACCCTTCTGCCCCAGCTAATTATCCCTCCCCTCCTGCTCCCTTTCCCATTTATTCCAAGCCCGCCTACGCAGCTGTTTATAGCTACGCCGGCACCACCAAGGCGCCATCTACCGGATCGACTGCCAGCACCGCCACCACCGCCACCACCGCCACCACAAAGGCCAGCGGGTATCCGGGTTACCCCACTGTGGATCCAGGCAGCACGGCGGCAACAACTACAGTAGCAACAACCACTGCGGCAACAACTACAGCGGCATCTACTGCAGCAACAACTACAGCAGCAACTACTGTGGCAACAACTACTGCGGCAACCACTACAGCTGCAACTACTGCTGCAGCAACTACAACAGCAGCAACAACAACTGCAGCAACAACCACTGCAGCAACTACAACAGCAGCTACAACAACAGCAGCTACAACAACAGCAGCAACTACAACAGCGGCAACAACTACTGCGGCAACAACAACTGCTGCAACAACTACAGCTGCAACAACAACAGCGGCAACTACTACCGCTGCAACAACCACAGCAGCAACAACAACAGCAGCAACAACCACAGCAGCAACAACAACAGCAGCAACAACAACAGCAGCAACCACAGCAGCCGTAAGTGGAAACTTAAACCACCAAATCCACTTGTAAACTTAATTACCTTTCTCCCAACCACTTTAGAACCCCTAAAACCGAAACGGAGGAAGCATCGATCAGCACCACCAAAGAAGAAACCACTCATAATTCTGGGAAAACCACTGGCCAACCACTTTGAGACATCACCACCAAATGAAATCATAATTTTAGCCACAGCAATATGTAGAGTGTTCCATTTAGCCGCAATAAAACAATCAGTACAGCACATAAACAACTTGAGTTGATCGCATCTGGCCCTTGATTTTTCAGAGCACTGAGAAAAAATACTAGCTAAAATATTTCTGAGCTTCTACGCAGTTAAATAAATTTAGTAATTGTAAATCATATATCAAACTTAGTGTTGACAAATTAAATTAGTATGATACGAAATTAATTTTTCAGGTTTTTCATACTAAAATCAAAATAAGTTAATTAAATTAATTTGGTGAACTTTTTAGAATTTTAAAGTATAGTATCACGTATACAGCTTTTTTTTTTATCAGTAAACTTGTTTATCTTTTTTTTTTTGTTACGTGAAAGCATAACATTAAATGGTGTATTTGAACACATCTTGCAATATTGCATTATTTAAACAATGTTACGTGTAATGTGTTCACCAAAACGCTTTGAAGTGCTGTTAGATTTTTTCTATGTGGCATTCGGCTGGGTGTGTGGTTGTTTGGGTGGTTGGGTGGTGCGGTGTGGGTGGCACTTATCAGCGCCTATCGCCAACACACACACACACACACACACACGCAAACAGGTGTTTGCCATTGTTTGCGCGCTGCATAACTTTCGCTGGGGCTTAATAGATTTTTTTAAGCAGTTTTCCGCTTTTGTGCGCGCTCTTATCTTTTGACAATAAAACGGCATTAAAAGCGGGTCGGAAATCGGCGGCGGAAGGGTCGAAAGAATGAGCCACAATGGGTGGGGGAAACGGGAGATAGAAGGGGGCGAGGGGGTCTCCTACTTTTTGGCGGGAAACGCGGAAACGGAAATTAACAAATGCCCCAGGCAACACTTGGCGTTCCCAACAAAAACAAGGACAACCAACCGCCCGCCTAAAATAGCCATTTATATTCAAATTGTCTTAACTTGGCTCAGATTTTTGTGCCCACAAGCATTAACATTTTTTTGACAGTATTTGTATTTTATTTTTTTTTTTTGTTCTTCCGCCTTCGAGGGCAAGCAAAAGTTGAACGGGGAAATCTGTTTAATTAAATGATAAACATTTAATTTGGGGCACCGAGTTTGCCAACACTTTGTTTATTATTTGCCATGAAAAAGATTTAAGATAGGTGTTATCAGGAAAAGGACAAAAAGTTTTGATGACTTTAAATGGAAATGGTTCTCCAAATTTCGTTCAACATAAGTGGGTTAAATTTAATTTGTTTTGCCATTTGGTAATGTTTGTAATTCAATTTACAAAACCTTTTCGTGTGAAAAAAAACAAATAAAATAATTTAAATTTTTTCTTGGTTGTTATTTAATATAAGCTTTATTAAATATTTTTATAGCTTCTATACCTTATACATGAATGTACTCGTAAATAAAAGACATCTGCAATTGATTGAACAAGTTAAAGGCTGACTCTGATCTCTTTTCTTGCTTTTTTTTACGGAAAGCAAAAACGGATTTTAATTTAGTACGGTAATAAAAAGACATCATTTTATAGATTATCAAACTTATCACATCAACGATCAACTTTTAACAGCTTATAGTTTTTACGTGGTAAACTTTTTTACGGCTGGTATTCCGTTTTCCCTTTATAAAAGCTGACGTCTTGCAGAATGATAATTCTGCCCCCTTAATTCATGCAAAAGATTTTGCAAGTTGCGCATACTTTGTGTGAAATTTCATTTATTTGTAAAATTTCATTTATTTGATTTGATTCAGCCAGCCAGCAATCTTGTTTTTCCCCCGGTATTTTGTGTTTTCGCTTTGCTCATTAAAAGTTTACACTGCGTGTAGAAAAGTGCTTAGCATGCGAAAAGATTCGGCACAATTGAATGAACTCTTTTCTTTCTGTTCTTTTCAAGTGGCGCCGTTGGTGGAAAGTGCTGAAGGGAAACGTGAGGGAAAGCTGCCAGGGGGAAGTGTTACCCCACAACTCCTGATGGCCGATGGCAGATGCCATCTGGCATCCCTCCAGCATCCTAAGCCAATTATTGACATTCTCCGGGAGTTCGCATAAATCAAAATTTGCACGGATACCGAGGAGGAGCTCGGAAAAATAAGAAAAAATCGAGGGGGAGATTAAGCTGGAGAAGCCGTTTCGGATCGGCCGTACTTAAGCTGATTTAAATACTGGGCACTCTTCGAGTCTGCGAGTCCATCGAAAATGGGTTTCATTAATAATTAATCATGCTTTCTGAGGCAAAGAATAATGGCTTGTGAATAATGATCAATAGTATTATAATTTTACTTAAATAGAATAGAACCTTTTTCACATCCTTATATCTGTTGTAGTATATAAATAAAAAAAATATATATTGTACTATTTATTGTGCTGGAAAAATTATTTGTGCGATATATTCCTCAGGTAAAATTTAAAAATACTGTTTGGTAACTAAAACATATAAATGCAAAGTATAAGCGTTTCATGGGACTAAAATTAATTTGTAGAAATATATGGACAAAGTATTTTCTAGTCGTATTACTCAAAATAAATCACGGCTCTCGTTTTTTAATAAATTGAAGCGGGACAAGATTTGTGGTGGCTTAGTCGCGGGCAAATATTTTATTTAGATGCCGTGCTCCCACGCCCACGCATAAATCAAATACCGCTTCCTTTGATTTTCATCTTTTTTTACAAATACTGTTTTCGTTTTTTTTTTTTCTGGCCGCCCTGCTCGAATTGATATTTATGGCCGTGAAATCGGCTTATAACATTACCCATTCCCCCGGCCCACCGCACATATATTGGCCAAGTGTACAATGCTTAGGCGGCGGGTTGTTTACAATTCGGGCGAAAATCGCCCCGAAATCAGATCGCACTTAACGGACGAGAACAATGTGTTGGTTATTTTGATTGGATTTAATTGCGAGCACCTGAACTTGGCCAAGAAATCGTGCGGATAAGGTCTCCTCTGCCGCCGGAAGCCGAAACCCCTGTGAAAATCCAATTTGCCAGCGGATAATCAAATATCGAATGATATACGGGCGTTAATTTTCGAATGGGGGAAATTTGGATTCCATCAGTCGGGGAATAAACAAGCTCCCAATGTGTATTAAATTTATTGGCGAATCTCGGGCAGCTTTTCCACTTAACTGGCAGCTCGCATCCAATATTCATAGATTTCAATTAATTAGCCGTCTGACGATTAATCAGAATTAAGCTTCTTTAATTACGCATTTTTATAAAGAGCCATCAGTGGAGGCATTTATAAAGGTGTAACATTTTTGTGCCATATAAACAAATGAACATTTTTAATTTAATTTTGTTGTAGTTCCCTATCTCTGGGTATTTTAATGTTCATTGAACCTTTTTTGAGTTGATTTTCTTTCACAAGATACCCGTCACTCAGTTTTGATTAATTTAAACTTTTCATTTAAGTATTTCTAGCTCACAGCAAAAGAAAATGGGCAAAAGATAAATGAAGCATTAATAATGCCAATGAGTTGTTCACTTTTTGAATGACTTTTGTATTTTTGTATTGAGGGAAATTGTACATTTATTTGAAGGGTAATTGAACCCAAATCATTTTGAAGTTTAGGGGTGAACATTTTGGAGTGTATGTAGAGTAATGGAAAATATTGGCATTGTAACGTTACAAACTGTTTAAGTTATTTAATTTTTAACCAATTTAAGGTATTTGTTAAAATTTTTTCAGTTTCAAAATTAAAATTTGTTTTGTACAACAAAGTTTAACGACTCAGAGCTTATTTAGAAGTAACCAAAAACCAAATAAAAATATTATTTAATAAATTTAAGCATCAAATAAGAATTCTTTCCCTGACGTTAATATGCAATGACATAAAATACGTAATTTTTTGTTCACATTTTGTCAGCTTCTATTACATTTTTTGTTGCTATCAGTAACATTATCTGTTGGCCACATTGTTGGTTTATCCGTCTCATCGGATATTGGTTATTAATAACCAGCGACATGAAGATGCAGCCATGGCAAGCCGCATTAAAATATTTGAATGTCCGACGCTAATGGACAAAAAAGCGAAGCGCCAAGGCCTCGTTGAATATGTTTGCAAAATTAATCAAAAGCGCAACTGACAGCTAAGGGAGCGTCGCAAGGAAAATAAATTAAAAATACATAAAGCGCTCAATTACGAAATTTGGTACATTTAATTTGTAAGCAAGGCAAAGACAAGGGACTGGGCCAACAAAAAAACAGAAAGAAAAAAAATACAGGGAATAAAAGCAATAGAGTGGCCAAAAGCAGTGTCAGTAGCAATGAAAATGGAATCCAATTTCCCTGGACTTTTTCCGCTTCCCGTGCCATTTGTTTTTTTTATACCCTTGCGGAGGGTATTATCATTTCAGTCAGGAGTTTGCAACGCAGTGATGGAGACACCTTAGACCCCATAGAGTATATTTTAGCAAATAAACATGATAAATGGAAAATGTAACACGCAACATGCGATTGTTAACAATCAACATGCAATTTGTAAGTTGCAAATTTAACACCTAAAAAATGTTAGATAACATTGATTTAACATTAATTTTAATTTTCAATGTTAATGTTATGTAAATGTAATGTTAATTACATTAATATTGCCACGTCATCGGCAATGATAATTAAATATTTTTCACGTTTTCTTGCACCTACAATTCCCAAGTGGTTCTGGTTGATTCTTAGTGGGATACCAGTGAATTTTGATGGATTCCTCAGTTCTCCGGGATGACCGGCAGTTTCTCTGGGAAACTGTTTCCGGTTTTTGGAAGTGTGTGTGTGTTTGTGAAGTGCTTCCTTCTACTGGACTCCACTCCAGGGTGCAGTGCATTGTCTTCTGACTTGGTGAGCATTTTTAAATTAATAAATTTAATTATGATTTTAACTCATTCCCGTTGCTGATCCCTTCCTGCTTTTAGTGGCCTATGGGATGCAGTGCCTCCAAACCCAATAAGGTGAGTACCCTTTTTTTTTTTAAATTAAGTGATGCACATCATCAATTGATGCCGCGTAAAAACAATTAAAATATTCAATATAGCTTGCTCAAAAATATTAAAACAATAGAAAAGTGGACATAGCTTTGATATTGTTTAGCCTTTATGTATTTGGTTCGAGATTATTGATGACGGCAAGGGTATATAAGATTCGGTTTGCCGAAGCTAGCTTCCCCTCTTGTTTTTGTTTTTGCTTTTCGTGTTTCCTTCCTGGCTGTGTTTTTTTTTGCTGGTTTTCGGTTGTCTTCTGTTCCGGGGGCAATATAAAAATTTAATATGCGCCCAAAAGTCGGGTGCAATAAAATGGCTAACAGTCGGTAGTGGCGAAAGTAACTTCAATGTGGAAGCATAAACCATGATCCGGACCTCGACCTCCCCAAATTATGTTGTAAAAGTGGCGAGAAACAAGCAAATGACGACACTTGAGATCCTATTTCCCGGCATTTTCCACCACCCCTCCCCCTTTTCCCGCTGGACAAACAGAGAGTGGAACAGAAGGCCAGACAGTCGCCTCATTAGTCGAGCGGTCAGCAAACGCCACTTGAAGAGTGCGAAAAAGTCGAAGAACCCACTGGGGATGGGCCTTACTCGTACAGTTGGAGTGTCTAAGTTATAGAGGGTCTTTCTGAAAAGGAACAGAGCATATGCACCCTCGTTTGGGATGTCCTTTCTGGCCAGAATCAGAATCTGTCATAACTTACTACCAAGCTTATCGAATGACAGCTCCAAGTGGACTTCAAAAAGGGAAATCTTTGGGGGGGATAAAAACATCGAAGTGAAGACTTGAGTACCAGAAGTGACCCTTCTTAAACTACAAGTTCAAGTGACAGCTGCAAACAGCTTTAATTTTAATTAATTTTATAAGAATAAATAGGTTATTTGTTTGCATGGCAATAAAAATTGCAACATTACAAATATCGTTCTAGGTATTTATTGCTAATATTAACTGTAATCTTGCTTATATTTGCTCCAATTTATTTGTGAGCGATTGAAAAGTTCAGACTTTACAGGAATAGTTTTCTGAATATTGTAGTATTATTTAGTGCAAACCATGCTTACTAAAGGCCATGAATATGTTTAACAAAAAAGTGTACAGTTGCCCAAATAATTTTTTTTAGTCCCTTCTATTAAACTACAGAAACTTTTCTCATATTTTCGAACCAAACCTCCCCTTGGTGATTGAACTGTCCATCGCGGTGTAAAACACTAGCTAAGTGAAACATCAGCGTCCATTTTGGCGGGCCATGTCGACACTTGTAAGTCCTTTAATGAAGAACCTGTCATCAATGTATTTGCGGTTGGACGCGACTCCGTTGCCCCCCGGTTGTCCGGTTGTCATCTGTCATGTACACAAGTGGCAAGTGGCAAGTGCCAAGTGCCCCCCACCTTCCGCCATTTAATGCCCTTTGACCCCTTCGCAGTCACCGCAAATGTTTGCGTGAGTTTGTGTGAGCCGTGTAAGCATCGCCGCAAACTAATGAGCCCTCGTTTAGCAGCCGTGGGTATTTCGGCCCTCCGAATTCTCCGCCAGTGGAAATTTAAAAATAAAAACAACAGAGGTGATTCTAATTTAGAAAGTGCCAAGAATTTAAAGAATGTATGGAAATAAAACCGAAGAAAAGGGGACCTTAGATATTCAAACAAAGATCAAAATTGATTTTATTAAAATATACAACATTTGTAAATTAGAAAAAACTTAATATAATATAATAACTTCTGTAAGCATTTATTATTTCTTTTATTGTTCTTTTTATATGATACTAATAGAAAAATTACTACGATTGCTACGATAATAAAATGAATTAATTCATGTCACACTGTTCCTGTATTAAAACGTTTTTTTTTTTTCAATTCCGAAGTTAATAAAACTTGTTTTATCCTAAACATTTTAACTACTCCGACTTAATGGGATTTGTAGCTTGTGGCTGTAATAAAAGCGTCGAATTCGGAACTATCCGGCAAAGCACCGCAGATATTTGCCGGGAAGCACGCTCCAAATATCTTAAAGCTCCACCGCTCTTTCCCCTCCCTTTGATGAGAAGAAGAAGAAGAAGAAGGGAGGTGGGGGAAGGAGGGAGGGGTAAACCCGTCGAAGCCATCGCAGTGGCGGCAATAAATCAGCTGACAGCGCCTCGTGCATAACTTATTGCACACTTTGGGGCAGCTATATTGCAATTGTTTCGCCACACAAAACGCCAGTCATTGCGGGAATTTGTTTGGGGGTCTTAGCCATAAGCCTTACGGCCAGTCGTCGTAGCATATGCCACAAGGATGCGCAGGATATGCGCCACTGCTAATTGAATCAGCAGCCGCAGCATGAAATCAGCTACAACTACAACTACAAATACAACCGACAACGACAACCGAGGACCCCGGGGCGGATACGCAATGCGAAATGGAAAAGGGACGAGTTTTAGAGCCGAAAGCAAGCAAAAGGATTGCCCCAACAGATTGATAAATCCCCTGGTGAAATGCCTGCGACATAAAAAACCGAAGCATACATTTATGCGCTGCCTGAATAAATCATCTGCTTGCAGTGACGTTCTGTGTTTTTTTTATCTATTTATTTTTTCTGCCCAAAATAAATACGAACCTAATGTTTGTGCGCGTGTGGGTTTTAGCCAGATTTTCGGGCGTGACAGGCTCTCTTTTTTCACGGCATCCACTGCGTATGGACAATATGTGTCGCGCGTAAAATAAACAAAACTCACACAGCGAAAGCCACACGAATTAAGCAAATTTAGCGAATGACGCGTGCAATTAGTGTAATTTTATGAGCGCTGTTTACCTCGACGGCGGGAAATTCTAAGCACTTTTCGGCTCGCAGTTCATGGCTCGAATTTGGCGCCCAAAATAATGTTTGTACTGAATACAATGCGATCGAAGTGCCGAAATCGAAAACAAAATTCCGCAAACGTTGTGTTCGCCACAGCAACCGGTTGGCAAGTGAGTGGAATGATTTCAAATTGAAGCAAAGGAGCTACGGCAGAGGATTCAAATGAGCAAGCAGTTGTTTAGATTCTGGAAACTGTTATACGGCTGAGCGGTTTGGAAACATTTCATTTTAATTAAATAAAAGCACATAATTTATCTTGCTAATGAATAAGCCTCGGAAAATATTATTTTTTTTTAAATAATTATTATTAAATTTTACCGTTGGTAAAAGGTGAAGAAAATTTATTAAAACATTTAATCTATTCTTATTTAATAATTTAATTTATAATAATAAATAAGCAATGCTTAACATTTAACTTATCTATTTTAAGCATTTTGTTTTACCCAAAAATTCGAAAATTTTCTACATTATAAAGAAATATTTTTTTACAAGAAGTCCATTAGAAAATTGTATCGCATTTTTAAACCCAACATTTTCCGTAGGCACTGCTTAACAGAGCTTTCGCAAGCAGTGCGAAAAGCGCCAGCATCGCAGGTGGTGTTCGTGCCAAGCTGTTTTTCGAATTTCAGATTGCGTGGTTTTCGTTTAAACCTTCTTTCTTTGTACTCCGATCCGAAATTATGGGGACTCAATATCTCTGCCACGGAGAAAGAGAATTCGAGTTGTACTGTTGGCTTTCGGTTTTTTTTTTTTGTTTGTTTTTGGATTTCTAGCGGCACTTACAATGGAAACTGGAGTCTGGCACGTATAATTCCGATAGATAGACGCCGTCTGGTTCTCTGTTTGTTCTCATTGTTGCAGCTCCAGAGATTTGCCTTAGCAAAGTACAAGTCGGTCGTATATATAGTTGTTGAAGGGTAAGCTGAAGTCATCAGTTACAAACCAACCATCAAAATGTTTAGAGTGTTTGCCTGTTTTGTACTTCTGTCAGCTTTGACCTTTTCTGAGGGTCAGCGGGATATTTACCCGGGATTCTTACGACCCCAAGGACCAAGGGGCTTTCCGAGGTTCAACCCCAGACCTTGTGGACCATCAATTTGTGCCAAAAGTGGACTATGCTATCGCACTTTTGACAGCATTTGTGAGCTCAACGATTATAATATAAGGATGATGTTCAGTGGCCAAGCTGGTAAGTTATACTTATATCAGTAATACAAAAGGAAAAAAAACTACCTCAAGAATTCATGTTTATTTTTTTTAATAATTTGAAAACATTATAAAAGATTTTTTTAGTAGATTTTTACGATATTTTTCTTTCACTTTTCCAGAATTCTACCCCGCAGACCCTATTTTATGCCGTGGACGGTCTACACACCCGAAACTCATAAATGTTGGATACTCTTACAATACTAATCATCGAGGTTTGCTCGTAGCCCAACAGCCTCGCTCGGGGTTTTCCTCTCCTGTTCCCAGGCCAAGTATCTCCCTTAGTCCGGAATATGTTGGTGGTTACAATGTAGAAGCGTTGCCATATGGGTATGACCCAGTACTTGATTATGTGCGTCCGTATCCGGCATGGAACTTTAACCAGCCACAAGCACCACCGAGACGGCCGCCAGTGAGCAATAGGCCTCCGTATTGGTATTATCCGACCGCGAGGCCCGATTCGACCAATAGACCATGCTACATGGCAGCAACAACTACCACAAAAGCTCCTTCATATAAAACCACTACAACAATCAAGCCATCTACAACGACCAGCACAACCGAAAGCTCTTCAACGTCAACAACCACAGAACCCACAACAACAACCACTGCTGAAACAGCAACGACAACCACAGCGTCAACAACAACAACAACCATAGAACCATCTACAACAACTTCCGAAACAACAACAACCACCACTGAAACAACAACGACAACCACAGAGCCAACGACAACAACAGAACCATCGTCGACAACAACTTCCGATCCAACAACCACCACCACTGAAACAACAACGACAACCACAGAGCCAACGACAACCACAGAACCATCGTCGACAACAACTTCCGATCCAACAACCACCACTGAACCATCAACAACATTACCAACCACAACATCCACTGAGGCCACTAACTCCACCTCAGTTCCAGCAACAACTATAGATTCAACCACAACTACAGAACCAACAACAACAGACTCGATAACAACCACAACTACGGAATCAACAACAGCTGTAGATTCAACAACAACGACAACTTCAGAGCCAACAACAACTACCAATCCTACAACGACACCTATTTCTGATCAGTCCACGTCAAGTTCCACGACAGATCCTTCGACAACAACACCTTCAGATCCAACAACGACAACAACTACAGAATCTTCCACAACAACCTCTGAAGCTTCTACAGCGGACCCTTTGACAACAACAACTACAAATTCAACAACGACAACTGACGATCCCTCATCAGCAACGACAACAGATGCCTCTACATCAACGACAGAAGATGCCTTCACATCAACAACAGATGCCTCTACATCGACGACAACAGATGCCTCTACAACAACGACAACAGATGCCTCTACAACAACAACAACGGATGCCTCTACAACAACAACAACGAATGCCTCCACATCAACAACAGATACCTCTACAACTGCAACGACTGAATCTTCCACAACAACAACTACGGATGCCTCTACATCAACGACAACAGATGCCTCTACAACAACAACGGATGCGTCTACAACAACAACAACGGATGCCTCTACATCAACGACAACAGATGCCTCTGCAACCACAACGACTGAACCTTCCACAACAACAACTGCCACAGCTGTAAGTTAAAAAATAAATGAACATAACATTATAACTAAAAAATCCCATTGACAGATAAGTCCTGTGACCATAGCGATCTCTAACGAAGATGGAAGCATATTAGAATTCCAGTTGGCTTCAATGGCTGTTAACTCGGATACAGGAAATCCAAACTGCAGCGAGGTCACCAATGTCCAAATAACGACAGGATCAAGGATCGTCTTTCAGTTTTCTGGCTGCATTGTGGCAAATAACTCCAGTACAATTACAACCTCAACCTCAACCGCAACTCCAACAACAACAACAACAACAACTCCAACAACAACAACAACAACTGATGCCACCACCACTAACCAGCAAATTCCGTTTTACCATTATTATGGCAATTCAGAATCCTACGCCCAATCGCATTTCATATATACTTTTTAATTGGATATTGCTTTTTAAAACCTAATAAAGAACATGTAAAATTTTTAAAATAACAAACAATTTTTAATAATGTTGATGGCTGGATAGTTAAGAGCTGCTTACAATAAGCTTTAAAAAAAAAACCTAAAATACTAATACTAAACTTTTAATAATAATAAATTGAATTTAAAAAATCTAATAACTTAGTAAAAATAGAAAAAATACATTAAATATACTTGCTCATGTACTATCAGTTTCCATTTTGCATTTATTCAAACCTTTCCTTAACAACTGATTACAAATTATCATTCTCAACATTACCTAAAATATTAAATAACTTGTGACAAAGTATCAGTATCCATTTAAGGTCAGAATTCGATTTTCTTACAATCAAGAAACAAAGAAAAAATATATAAGTCATCATTTCCTATTAAAGAATTTAAAAACTGCACAAAATGTTGTATTCCGCTCCTCGGTATTCCATTTAAATGTATCACGTTTTGTTTATTAATGCTCAAAACCAAAACACAAGTAACAAACGTTAGAGTGCAGTGTTATATCATAGAAAACGTGATATTTGTTGGTGGAAAGCGCCGCACGTGAACCGTGTTCCGCCCTTCAACCCATCGTCAAAATCAAGCTCAAGTTGAAAGCAATATCAGAAATATTTTGCTGACTCATGTTTTAGCTGACTTCTTTCCGAAGAATTGGCGATCGCAGACAATTTCACATGACTCAAGGTTGAGCTAAGCCACGCGATAACGGCCAATAAATTTCATAATGAGTGCAAGACGGAATGAAAGCGGGAGAAGAAGTCGATTGATATATATTATATATTATGGAAGCGGTATTATTATACTTGTGACCCAAACAGGGTTCGCGACACGTACAGGCGAATTTTAAGAGTATGAGAGCACCGAGTGTTAGGATCGCTCGGCGGTATAAAAACTGAATTCAATGGAGGTCACGGCACAGTCGTCTTCTAGACCTTCTCAATATGACAGCCTTTCTTGCAATTGGATTCGCACTCCTCGCCGCCGTTCAGGCTTGGGATTATGGAGTACCTTACTATCCAGCACCGCAGTATTTCGACCAACGATCCCACGAATATCCTTGTCCGCCGACAGGACCCGAAAGTCTCGTTTGTGCTGGAGCTCCGGGTGCTCGACCCTCCACTTTTCCCAATCCCTGCGAGGTTCAGCGTTTTAGAGCTCTCACTGGAATAAGTAAGCAGTCATCAACATTCATTTTAAATAAATGGTACTTATTGAGTCCGTTTACTTATTGCAGATTGGGAGATCATCCACGAGAACCGTTGCGAAACCCTGGAGGTTTGTCCCGACAATTGTCAAGATCAGTACAATCCTGTCTGCGGAGTGTATAGAGATGCCAGGCGAAACTTCAGGAGCGAGTGCGAGCTGCAGCTGGTCAAGTGCCGCACAGGACATCGTGAGTATTGGAGAAAATATTATGTATTTTGGAAAATAGTTATGGGATTCCAGTATAAGATGTTGATTTCAAAATGTGAAGTGATCAAATCACTTATATCAAACTGTTTCTGTTTAATTTAATTAAGCAACACGATTATTTCTGTTGGCAAAAATGCAGAAAACCTGTGCATTAAAAAAATATTATTTTAATGCGCAGAAATTCAGAGAGGTGAAAAAATATAATAACACAATAATAAAACTCAATCTGACAGGCACGTTTAGAACTTTTCAATAAGTTATAACGTGAGTCATTGTTGTATGAAACAATACAAAATTCTTTAGCTAATTAAAATTTTTACAAATTATTATCTGGTTATTATAATAGTTATTTTTTTCTTTCCAGCTTGGCGAAAACACCATGATGGCCCCTGTGAAAGTAGATATCCAGTTCCTCAGTCTTCTCGCGCTCAAAGCTACAACCCCTATGCGATCAACCCCTACCAACCGCAATATGGCTCATCTGGATCGTACGCTCCCCAAGGACCTTATGGATCTCAAGGACCCTATGCCGCTCAAGGACCTTATGGCTCTCATGGATCTCAGGGATCTTACGGACCATACGGATCCCGATCTCAGCCTCAGGGTTATCCCCAAAGTGCTTTCGTGTCGCCAAAGCCCTCTTATGAGGCTCCAGTTTATCATCCCTATGAGATTACCTGGGAAAACCTACCCACGGAGTTTACTGCCAAGCCTTATGTAGATCCCACCTACAAGACCACACCGATCACTGCAACCTCTACAACTTCTACAACAACCTCCACCACCACCTCGACTTCAACCTCTACGTCAACAACACCAATACCAGAAGAAACCACAGGAGTAGCAAGTACAACTCAAAATCCCAGGCAAAACATTAAGGTGAATGCAGTGGTCGAAAATCCCGTGAATGAAACTACTACGCAAGAGCCTTCCACGACGACGACTTCTACTACAACTACAGTAAAGCCTCCAACAACGAAGAAGAGCCCCAAATACGCCACAGAGCCCAGTTCCACAGAATCCACTGTCACCGCTGCACCACTGAAAAAATTGATAACTACTGCTTCGCCGCAACATGCAACAACTACAGCGAAGCCATCAGGCCCTTCTCTTTCGATAAACGCGGTTACAGAATCCGAAGAAGAGGAGACCACTGAACAGGAATCTAGCACGGAATCAAGTACTGCCAAAGCTAAACCTTACCCATCTTATCCATCATACCAATCCTCCAAGGTTTACAAGTCCTCTCCAGTCTACAACTCTACTGAAGCTTCCAAAGAAGAAGAAACCACAAAGGCTTCCATCGATGCAATCGTTAAAGTAAATGCAGTAGAAGAGACTACCGAAAAGGCAGAAGAGACTACCGAAAAGGCAGAAGAGACTACCGAGGAGGCAGAAGAAACTACTACATCCTATCCATCGTATGAATCTCCCAAGGTCTACAATACATATCCAGTTTATGGAACCACTAAGAAACCTGCTGAAGAAAAGAAAAACGAGACAACTAAAATACCTTTGGAAGTCTTCAAAGTAAACGCTGTGGCAGAAAGCACGACTGAGACTACAACTAGCACCGAAGCCAGCAGCTCTGAAGCCCCATCCTATCCATCATATCCAACTTATCCAGTTTACCCATCGCCAACTGTCTACAACTCTTATCCAGTCTACAGCTCCACTGAAGCTCCCGAAGAAGAAACGACTCCACCGCTGGAAAAGGTCTTTAAAATAAATGCAGTAGAAATCACTACTGAAGAGGTAGAACAGACAACTGAGACGACAACGAAATCCTATCCATCCTATCCATCTTATGGATCTCCCAAGGTCTATAATACAAATCCAGTTTATAGCTCTTCTGAAGCTCCTGAGGTAGAAGAAACTACTACTGAGGCTGTAGAAAAGATTGTTAAAATAAATGCAGTGGAAGAAACTACTAAAGAGGCAGAAGAGACTACGGACTCAACAACCACCACGGAATCCATTGGTTCCACAACTCCACCGATCTATCCATCGCACCCAGTTTATCAATCACCCAAGGCTTACAACTCCTATCCGGTCTACAGCTCCACTGCAGCTCCGGAAGAAACTACGCAGGTGCCTGTAGACGATCTCATCAAAGTAAATGCCGTGGAAGAAACAACAGAGGAGAAAGCTGAAGAGACCACTGAGTCAGAAGAACCGGAATCAAGCACTGCAAAGGCAACGAAGATTTACCCCTCATATCCAACATACTCATCCCCTAGTGTTTATAATGCTGATCCAGTCTATAACTCAACTGAGGATCCTGATGATGAGGAAACAACAAATGATTCTTTGGAGGAAGTGGTTAAGATTAATCAAGTCACGCCTACAGAAGCCAGTCAAAATTCAACCTCTACAACGACTGATGAGCCAGAAGTCACTACTGATTCTTCCACCGAAAAAGACGAGAATAATGACATTGGTTCAGGAGATTCCCCCAAGATTGTGAGGACGGAAAGTAGAAATGGAACTGTGGTTAATTTGGAGGTGACCTGCAAACGGGAATCCAAGAAAATTCGATTGGATACTTCAAGCAACGACAACAGGAGCAACATTTATTTCATGTTTTTCGGTTGTTAAATGAATTAATCATATCATCAATAATAATAACTTACGAGATTTTAATGTTTACTAGTATAAAGTTTAGGAAATCATTAAATATGTTCTTCTCAGTTCAAAAGTGTGTGATTTTCAATCGATGGCTTGGAGTGTAATGTTTGGTTGCCTAAGGCCGCGTACCTTGAAGAAGTCAACTTGGTTGCTCTCCAGCAGGAATTGATGGTTAAATACGGTTGGTCGATGAATCAGGAAGATTCGCCCGGTGGCATTCAGGCGATTCACCATCGTATCATAAAACTCCTTCACCTCATCTGCTCTTCTCCTTGGGTTTTTATAAGTCCTTGGTTTGCTTTTAGCCCGCATATTTTGTTTCTTCATCATGATCTTGTGGTTTCGGCGACGAAGTTCACTGAGCACGATCATATTATGTCGCACTTGCTCGAGCTCCCTTCTCAACTCCTTGCGTAGGACTTCAAATGTCCATGTCACTATCGAATTTAATATATCCATACCCTTCTCTAGGGCCGTAAGTTCATCTGTAATAAAGGCATGTTTCCCAAAGTCGATGGCGTAGGAATCCGCATGTCCCCGAGTTTCGTTCACCATGCATTTGGGTTCGCGCGAAGCGACCTCATCGCAAAAAAACATTCCAAGTATAAAGATGATCTGCGGAAGGTTCAATCGGAGGTTAAAGATTAGCTTGTTGCGTAGAATGGCTCTTACCAATAAATAAAAGCGCGCCATGTTTTATAAAATATTATTATTTTTTCTAAAAATGTGTTTGTTGACAAGCTGTAAAGCTACGGAATTCGAAAAACAGAAGGGAGTATGCCAACTTTGCTGAAAAAGTTTACAGGGTTGTATTTTCAAAAAATAAGAGTTGTAAAACTATGAATTTTCAACACTGCAAATTAAAAACTAACTAACACTAATAATTATATGGATTCCTTGACCAGTTTTCAAAGAGTTAATACAATAATTAAAAAAAGTGACTTGGTATAATTTAAATTTTATTCATCTTAAGCTGCTTTATAAATAGTATCAATAAATATTAAATAGCAGAGTTTAAAAAGTCACAATAATTTTTATCAATGAGTTTTGGGTTTGGGATGCTCGGTGGTTTTCTCAGTGGTGCTGGTGGTGCTGCTTGGGTAGGTCATGGGCTCAAAATTCTCTGTTGTGGATTCCGCAGTGGTTTCCTTTCCAATTTCAGTGGTGCTGGGCACCAGTTGAGTGGTGTATGCTCTAATCGTGGTGTTTCCTTGAAGGTTTGTGGTCCTAAAAGCCTTGGTGGTAGTTGAGAATAGGGTGGGCTTGGGTGTAGTGGTTGTGGTTGTGGTGGTGGTGCTACTGGTCATGGAATACGGCTCCGTGACACGACCCACTTCTGGCAAAAACATCGATAGAGAGGAGTCGGTTATCTCGGCGTAATCCTGACCCACATCGGGTATATTGTACACATTGTAGGCATCCACCGCCCTCGAAACGGAAACCATGGGATTCGCCAGGTTAATGATCTGCTGAAATTGCATTGGCGATGGACTTGTGCTGGTCAGCTTGGTGGGTCTGCTCCTCGCTGTTGTGGTGATCCTGGTGGTGGTGCTGGTCGTCCTGGGAGTGGTGCTCGTGCTCCATGGAGCCGGTGTGGCCAGCATGATGTACACCTTCTTCGGATGTTCGGCGAACTTGTGGATGGTGGTTTTTGTGGAAGGTCGCTTGTGTTTGTTGCGGCGCAACTTCTTCTTGCGAGGAGCTTTCGTTGGCGTTTCGCAAGGCCCCGCGTGCAGGATTCGCAGGACTAATCGGGAGGTATGAAATGAGCAAAGAACAGAAAGGTTATAAGAAAAAAGGTGTGGCAAACAGATCGGGAATTTAAATTTACAAAAATGTTTCGATATACAAAAAGCTACATTACACAGTTTTTGCCTTAATAATAATAATAATATAATAAAATAATATAAATAAGTGTTGTTATATTTTCTACAGACCTTGCTTCGTGTGGCACTCTCGTCGTCGCATCTCGCACTCGTTGATGAATGTTTGGGGCAGGGCTCCTCCGATCTCGGCCAGCGCGCAAACTGGTCGCTCCACCTTGGTGCACTTCATCGTCTGGCAGGTGGGAAGACATCTCTCCATCTCCGTGGGCTCAAGCTCTGCATGGAAATCGCTCAGGGCAATTAAAGGAGGTTCAACCGAAATGACAGTGATGGATACATAAAAATAGGAATTTTTAAATGAAGCTTACAAAGTAGCCTTTAATTGGAGTATTAATAATTATACTTTCTTATGCTATTAATATTTTTATAAAAATTAAAAACGATTGTTAATTGCTAACTCACCTGTGCCGTACTGAAAGAGCAACTTAATGTTGGCCGCCTCCAGGAAGCAGCTGTTCTCGAAGTAGAAGTTCTCGGTGCCATTGGTGGCACAGACTGGGATTCCGCCTGGCTGACAGTTTGGTTGGTAGTCCACGTACTGAATCTGCATGGGACCCAATCCCTTGGGGTCCTTCTCATCGGGATCCTGTCCCACTCCCGCCTCTCCCAGGATCTTGGCATACTGATCCCTCGTGTAGTGCGGATCACTCATGTGCCAGTTGGCAATTGGCGATGATTTCTGGCCCGAAACTCTGCAGCTGAGAATTCCGAGGCTCAGGAGTAGTGTCAGGATATTTGTTACTCCATTCATAGTGCTAACTTTAAGCGTCTGCTGCGTTTGCGTTGCAAGTTGCTTGTGACCTCCGTGGCTTTTCATCTAGAGCTTTATAGTGATTCTCCAGCGATTTATCGTGGAAGTTTGCTGCATTTTTCCACTGACGCTGCATTTATCGTGGCAGAAACGCATATTTTCTGCTGGCACTTCGATAAGCACCCACTGAACAGGTGGTTCTGTACACGACCATTCATAATTATTTATCGCTTCTTTAGCTGTGGGTCATTCACGTGCTTACTTATCAGCCAGCTACACAGATCGTGTTGTTTTTATCTAGATTGGGTAAGATCCAAATTTCTTATCGGATAGCTACAATAAATACATTAATTCTTGTCATGTTGTATATTTTTTGCTTAAATAAAACATGGGTGTGATAATATTAAACGAAAGCGTACCGAAAGATAAATTGAAAGTTGTATTATTCATACAAAGAAACAGCGCTTAGGAATAGTTTAAAAGTTCGAAAGCCTTATTTGCTTGGGAAGGAAGTAAAAGCTTAAACTAAGGACTCTCTACGATTGTCGAGAATTGAGGGAAAAAGTTTTTTAATATTCTGTGTTTGCACCAAGTTACAGCTTTTAAGCTTGTATTTCAAATTACCTGGGAAAGGACGTAAAAATGTACTAAGCAAAACTTTACACAACTGCCAAGTATTAACAAGCTTTTAAGTCCGTGATACTTATAGCTTTTGAATTTATCTTTAAAGTTAAATTGAATTTATATTTTCTAAATATTTTGGTGAACATAATATTATTATTTCACCAAATTTAATCACATTGAAAGTTGAGTTCTATTTTGAAACAGTTTTAAAATTTAATTCAATATATTTTAACCATATACTTGTTTAATAGTCAAATAAATTTTTTGACTTGTTGCACGCGTAGGAAAACAAATAGATTACTTTACCAAAATCTTTCTATATATATTTATTGGATAAACGCATTTTCAACATAAAATCTATATTCAAAATTATCAACTACTTGTAAAATGTACCTCTAAAACTTCTACTTAAGTAATCAAATAAAACTATCTGCTGGAGACTGACACAGCTGCTTTGCGATGTCCTTGGGATTGGGAGCCAGACTCCATTTCAGACACACTTTCAGATGTGGTGCAAAGTTTTGAGCGTCAACAAACAGGCAACTTATTTTTGGGCAAGTTTATTGCTTTGCCGTTATTGAAAATGAAAGAGCAAGGGTGTCTGTCCATACAGACACTCTCCCTTCCCCATTTCCCTTCGCCCCCTGGCCCTTAGGCACTCCTGTATGAAGGTCCTGCAACATCCTTTTCCACACTCTTTAACCCGCACACACACAAACACACATACAAATACACACGGACAGTAATCTGCATATGCTTATGTGTGGGGACCAGAAGATACAATTTATTAAACTCTCCTTGCAAACACACACACACACAGCTAAAAATGGGCAAAGCAAACAACGAAAGTTGCCTATTCCCTTACAGGACGAAGGGTCCTGTGGCAACCGAATCCATTATGGATCCGAACAATGGAGAGCTGAGGAACGGAAACAAAGCAAAAGACGGAAATCACAGAACGGAAGCCGGAAGAAAAGCAGAACGCAAAGGAAATTCCAAACGAATGCATGAAATCCAAGGTATGACTTATCTATTCATCATTAGAAATCCATTCCAGATTGTTTGGATATGTAATACAACAAAATTGGATCAGTTGTGCACATCACCAAAATCTTAAAAATATCTAAGATGAAAAGGGGAAAAAGTTCAATCTTTACCAAAATGAAAAATTTAAAAGAAAATCGTTAGGAAATTCAATTCGAAATGTTTAAAGGTATGCCATTTTGAAATCGGAAAAAATTTGTAAAATTAATGGTCTCAGGAGTGCAGTTATATGTCACTTAATAGGTAAGGTAGGTACAAAAAATTGACCTAAAATTTAAAACCAGTTTTTTTTTTTTTAAAGAATTCGAATTTTAATGTTTAAGGATATACCACTTTTAAATCGGATACAAATTGTAAGCATTGCTGTATTGCTGGTGTAGTTTTGGTACATTTTTCCGGATGGGTAACTATTTTGAATTAAAGAAAGTACATAATTCGGTGCTGCTCTGTGGTGATTGTTGATCTGCCATTCGGTGTGCTTTCTGTTTTGCCGCGCACAAAGCGAAGGGGATAAAAGATGCCCAGGACAAGGGACAAAGGACGAAAGGCGAGGGGCGAGGGACGAGGGGCGGTGGGTGTGGAGTGTTTGAGTGGGGGTGTGGACCAAACAATAAACAAACAAACAAGCTGCAAAAGTGTCACACATTCATCATACATTGTAATATGCCTGTGGACCGGTGCAGAGCTTCCGGAATCCCGCCTCCTGCCAGACTTGGCCGGTCACTGGTTACTGTCACCGGTTACTGGTCACTGGCTACTGGCTACTGGCTACTGGTTACTGGTTACTGGTTACTGGTTACTGGTTACTGGTTACTGGTTACTGGTCACTGGTTACTGGTCACTGGTTAGTGGCCATGGCTCTTTATCTTAGCTGGATTCTGGAGCTGGGAAATCGAAAGAGCGGGCAATATACAAAGACTGGCAATCGCAAGCAGTAAACCAGAGCCACACTAAGGAAAATTTAAAAGAGTTTGGACTTTAAACAAATGTGCACTGAAATCAGTGGTATGTTAGTGAGTCTCCAATATGAAACATTCTTAATCAAATTGTTATTAGAAATTTACAAGCTGGTGATAGTTAAAATATTAATAGACAGTAAGCCAGATTTAATATTATTTTATTTTATATAATATTTTCAACTATTACCATTCCCCAACGTCCTGCTAATATTTTTTCCCAGTGCATCCAGATGGGCGTAACCTGGAGAGGGGGCGCGGCAGCACGGAGAGGTGCGGTTGCAAAACTATGGAAAAAGTGCAAAAAGGTCAGTAAATTAATGTGCAAAACGGGCGCTGGATAAACTTTGAATGTGTCGTCCATGTGTGAGTGTTTGTGCATGACTTTGAGCATGTGTGTGTGTGTGTTTGTGAGCACTGGAAAAGCTGTCGGTGGGCGTGGTTGAGCCACCCCACAGGCTGACCGTGAGAGCAATGGAGAGGAGGGGCGAAGGGAAAAAGTCGAGGGGGGAGTTTGCTTTGAGTTACGGCCTCCTCCGTTCGCAAAAGGCACTCACACAAGTAAACAAACAAACTCGCTGGCACACAGACACACTGCCACACACACACACACAAACATACACGCGCCGCACTTTCATTTCCACAAACAGGATTCAGATTTTACCAAAGGGTTATCGAGGGGCGAAAAAGAAAAACATAATAAATAGAACCGACAGCAAGCAGCATTTATTTTTCAATTTATGCGCCCGAGGATAATGATAAATTCGTTAGCTTCGCCGCATAAATTCACTTCGAGCTGAAGCCGCCCTTCTTAAATTAGATGTTAAATTTTCAACTAATAAATCAATATTTAAATAATTTATACAAATTGGATATGTTCCTGGCTTCCCCCTACGATGATCGATTGCAAAACGAATTTTTTTTGGGGTTCGGGGGTTGCTTTCGCAATTTCAGCCCGGTTTTTTTTTTTGGATGGGGGCTTTATGTGATTATGATTATGATGTGCGGTTGCGGCTGACAGGGGAATATGCAATCTATGCGAAAACAAATTACTTTCAAATTAGTTTCCACAGGTGCGACAAAACGAGTTGGAGTGATGAGCAATTCACAGAGGAATCCCTCACTCGAAAATAAAAACTGTTGACATTTTCCCAACAAAGTTGCTAGAAACTTTTTCAAATGTTATTCCAGCTATTCAAGTGGCTGAAATAAGTGAACTATATAGATGAAAGCACTTACTGTTGACGTTTTTTCAAAATTATTTACACATGATATTTAAAGGACTACCTCAACAAACAAATTAGCTTTCAAGTTTATGAGTAATAAAGCTGCTAAAAATACTACATTTATTTAAATGATATTATTAAGAGAATCGGAGGGAAAAACAAGAACAAAACAACTTAAACTACACATTTGCATCAAAAAATTTGTTGTTGGTTTACAGATGTATATTTAATGCTTTCAAAAATTGTTATGATTTGCCCCAAGTTTTGTATGATTTTTAAATTTAAGCAATCAGTGAGAAATGTTTAACGAAATTAAAGGGAAAAACATTTTGGGCACACCAACAAGAAACCCCAAACTAAATATTGCCAGGCTTGAAAATTGTTAATTGCTTTCAAAAACTGTAGTATTTTGCCCCGATTCTTAAATGATTTCAGAAGTGAAACCCAAGTTCTCCGACCTGAAAGATCTATCAACCGAACACGATGCGAACAGCTTATGTATGTCAAACTGAAAGCGAAACCGAAAGGAAGCCTCCGTCGGCCGACATCTTGCCATAACTTAAACGGACTTTCTAATGGCACCCTAATGAAAACTTCATCGTTTTGTCAGATTCTCGAAAACAATTTGCATAAGGACGGGGCAGGCAAACAGCCATAAATCATTTAGCACTAAGACCCCTGGCCGATACACCAGACTCTCCCCATCTCCTTCTGGCTAACAGCTAGCCATCTCCTTCTGTTGTCCGACGTCCTTCTCTCTCTTTTTTGCTTTCCCTTTTTGCAGTGGATGCTGTCCGGATGCTGCCGGCTTCATTGTGCTTTTAATTCCAATTTTAATTTCACACCGAAACTTTGGCCCTACGAGGAACTCCTTGGCACAGGACTATTCAGCCTCCCTCGATTTTCCCATTCCCATTGCCTTTTTCCTCATTCCCATCGTTGTTGCAATTTTCTTTTGAAAGTTTTCCCTTGTCCATGTCGTGTTGTGTCGTTCCGATTGCGGTGAATGATAATGAACGCAACTGGTCCATTGTTTGCCGAGGGATTTCACTTCGACTCACCCCACATGCCCCACATACTCGTTTTGTATCCCTTGAATTGCCCCAGAAGATTTCATCCAATTAAAGACCTCAAAACTGCGGCCAGGTGGGTAAATAAAATCGTTCGCCCTCCGTCCGATAATTAAAGATGAAACGTGTAATCAATCCTTTTTGCCCGAAGATGATGTACGCGTTTTTCCCAAGTACTACGTGGTCCTAAATCAATTAAGCTAACAAGTTGCAAACAGAAGGACGAGCTGCACGAATGGCAAAACATATTCAAGGGATCAGTTCAATTACGCGAACTTTATAATATCTTGCATTTTGGGTGGGAGGTCAATTTCACCTGCGCTTTAGCGAAAATAATTTATTTTCCGTTTTTGTTTGCATATCAAATTGATTTTGAATTACGGAAGGATTTGATTTAAGTGAGTTCTTAAGTTAAGGCGGTTATACAATAAATGTGGTAAAATGAGAAGCTTATTAATTAGCCATAATGTAAATTATTAAATTAATTAGATTGATAAAAGTGCTCATTCAAGGCTTGTTTAAATTAGTTTCAACTTTTTTCTATTTTTGCTAAAATAATTAGCCTATAAAAATTTAATTTATTTTCCAGAGCTTGATTTTAAAAACCATAGAGAATGTTTTTTCTAATTCAAAGGTTCTCTTCAATGAAACCTGTAAGGACTTTGTGCTATTTGGTTCCACAATTAACTTCATCTGCTTTCATAAATAAGTACAAGTTTATCCTATCGAAATGTATTCAATTAGCCGAAAATGTAAATAGCTCGCCCCCCAGTGGAATTTCCCAGCAGAGTCCAACCTACTTGAAATTCAATTTTAAAGTGGTCTCGGGAAATCCGAGATTTTGGGGCTCAAAGAGGCATTAAACAGATGCCGGAATCGGCGGTCTTAAGTGCGATTAGGCAATTAAATGTGAAACGGAACGCAAACGTATTTGGTTAACGTAATTCGGTGGTGGTCGTTCAGCTTTTCCGGTTTTCCCCACTTCCCCCCTATCCCCTTCCGCTTCTTCATCTTCTTCCTGTTCCTCTGCTTCTTCGTCTTACTCTTCTTCTTGCTGCCGCTCTGTCAACACTTTGTTTGCCATCCTGGCATTATAATAATATATAAATATAATGACAGTAAATTCCCGCTCACACACACAGTGACACTGACTCAGTGGCAGCCATCTTGGCGCCCTGTCTTATAACGGTAACCAAGTCAACTCGGTGTGTGTGTATTTGTGTGCGTGTGGGTAAAGCGGAAGTGCGGCATATTTTCCGCTTAAAACGCCACAATGTGCTCGACATTCCCTTTGTGTGTATGTGTGTGTGTGTTTGTGTGTGTGTTTTGCGAGGGGAGAAAGCTGCAAGAAGAAAGCTGAAAGGAAGATGGGCCAAAGCCACAAAAGCAGAGTCACAATTTATTCGCATATTTTTTATTATTTTTCTCTTTATTGTCCCGAACATAAAGCTCATGTGAACCATCGCACACCTCGGTAAGCCGACCGACCGGATTGCTTGCACAAGTCGCAGCAATTAAATGCTTTAAATTAACGCTGAATAAAAGTTACAGCGCCCAATAACCATATTCGGATATTGTCTGTGGCACATTAACGCGCAGATTGCGGCACTCGTAGAGTACTTAAATTAATTCAAAAAATATTGGGGGTGTGGCGAAATTTGAGATATTATTGTGAGGGGAGAGAGGAAGTTGAATATAAGATGTAAACTGTAAAACTAAAAAGTGGCTAGAAGAATAAACTAAATAGAAAACATATGAGTATTTAGATTAAGAAACTCTTTTACTTTCTAATCGAAGAAACATCCAATGCAATGTAAATACATATCTTAAATAAAATGTAATAGTTAGAAGTATATATAGAAATAAATCAATATACATTAAACCTAACTTTAAGTCCAGCCATCCTTTCCAGTAATTAATTATCAATTACCGAACAGTTGTGTATTTACTTCCCACTCGTCTTAAAAGTCAAACATTGCAGTTTGCACAGCTGCCTGTTACTTTTGCGGGCTTCTTCAGCAGGCTGACTTGGCTGTCAGTGGATGACTGCATCCTGGCACAAAGGATAATACAGCCGCACTGATTATTAAGCTGCCAGTCCATTATCTTATCAAGTTGCCAGATGAAGGGAAACGTGTAAACAGGCAGCTGTTGCTGCATTCCTTTGGCTGACGGCTCGTCTCATTTTAATCCGGTCAAAGGAAGAGTCCTGAAAACATTCCGTGTCTCAAAGGACCTGCGTTGCCTTTGGCGCAACTGTACCTGCATCCAACGACTTTCCGGGAAATTCATTTGCCTTTATGAAATCAGACCAAGGAACGCAACAGCTGCTGGCTTCCAATAAGCAGAAAAACAAGCCTTTTTCGAGATGCACACACACAGCGCAACTATTGTTCGGCATTTCTGGGAATTCGAAAACAAGGTAGTACCACTGCGTTCTGGCCAATTAGGAATGGCTCAAGTTCAGAGTGACGAACCTGATAACCAAATCCGGACTTAATTATACTTTGAACGAAATGTTGAAGGCCGCAAGTGCAAAAGCTTACATGGAAAACATAAAACTTTAAAATATATAATAAATGCTTTTAAATAACAATATACATATAAATGAATAAATAGATCAAAATAAATAAAATATTCAAAAATAATATTATACATAAATAAATCAGTTATTAAATAATTTTTTAAATAAAATAAAGATTTATTTATTGCAAAACAAATAATGACGTAGATGTAACATTTTTAACTTGGCTTGCCTCTTAAAAATCCAGTAAAAATGGAATACATTTTTTAGTTAAACTACATTTCGGCTTCGCAAATTGGCTTAATCTCAACTCGCATGTCATTTGTTAGCCGGAAATTGCAGCTAATAAGTGCACTCTGTGGTTATCTGGATCGGTGTCCGGTTTTTCCTGCGAAAACGTAAACTTTGCAAACAACTAATTTCGTTTGGCCCGAAAACGCAGCAGTACAAATTGTTTACGAAATCCAATTAATTATGACCCTGGTCGTGGCGATGAAGTTGTTTTGACGTAGACTTTGTGTTTTTGTCCATGGCAGAGTGTCCAATTAGTGCTTTGTTGCGAAACGTTGACCATGGCTCCACCCACTGCCATTGAAGTACCTGTGCGCATTAGGATGTTCCCTACCGCGAGTGTTGAGTGAGTCATACAGGATTTCCCTACTGAATATAACTATGTTATCAATTTGGATTTAAAAAAAAATTGTAGAAAATCATTTCATTTAAATATTAAATACTCCACTTCTTAACTAGTTTTATATAATAAAATACAATAACTCCAATTTAAGTTTAGACTGTAAAACAATTGATTTCCACTTAAATTTATTCCTTGTTATAAATCACAAGCAGCATTTTAAGTTTTCGGTTTAAATAACTTATTTATATCGCTTTACCTATGGAATTGAATTGAGTAAATTAAAGAACAATTAACAACAATACAATCAATACGTTTCCTCATATTTTCGTTGCCCGTGGTATTATCTTTGCATTTTGCTTATGATTACCCAACTATTTGTTATATTTTGTCTAATTTACCTGGACTCGCTTGCAAATGCCTTTCAGTTTGCGAATGCTGGGTATTTGCAACTTCATTAGACGCAGCACACAGGGAATTATCCGAGAAATTCCATTCCGCAGGAGGTTTGCCAGCCCAGCCAGCCATTGGGAGGCTTTAAAGGAGTCAGGACGCCACAACTCCCCCTTTTCGAATCCCCTCTTGATTTCCGCTCCCCGTCACGGGAATTTGATCAACAGTTAATTATTCGTCTTGTGTTTGGCGGACATGACCACAGGACATGCTGCACTGCGCCATTGTCCTGTCGCGAGTCAAATGTGCATTCAATTTGCATTGTGCATTCGTGGCCATCACCATGCCGGTTTTAATTCGATTAGCATCGCCAGGAGCAGCCCCAAATCGAATCTGCCCTAGGCCCAGTCGATCAGTCATCAATATTGCACAATATTTTTGAAGTGCTTGTGATTAAAAACCTTCAGTTTTTTCTTCGGTCAGAGAAAAATAAATAATGTTGTCAGAAAAGTTTAAAAGTGAAGGTAAAGGAAAATTAACATTAAACAATGATTTATTCAATTCAAATGGAACACTTAACCATTAATATTAGTAAAAAACTGGTTTTCCCCTTCTCGCCAAGTAATTTTTGTAAATTGTAATTGTTTCGAGAAAATTAAATAAACCAACAAGTGCCATCGAAACACAATGAATTAAAATTATGACTACGCCAGCTGTCAGCGGTAATCAATATAGATACTTTTTGATCAAATGCAATGTAAGAGCATATATAATATCTCATTAATTAATGGCACAAATAATTTATGATGGAACAACATTCATAATAGGCATCATATTACTACGCATGAACAGAGGCAAAGCGTTCAAACAAAAAAACGTTGTAAATTGTGTTATTAAAATGGTTGGGTTTTAATTAAAATTGCAAATGCTGAGCTCAGTAAAAACTGATTGCCAAGTGAAACTGTAATCGGAATTTGTCAGCTCATTAATTTTGTCTAAAACCGAACAAGAAATAGTCGCGCCATCAATATTTATGTATATCAGTAATTTATGGCAGAACACTCGAATTTCGGATTTTGTAATTGCAAGTTTAAACTCCTGTTGACTGCATAATTCACATGTTTGCCAAATTATCGATAAAAAAAAAACATGACCAAATTGTATTATTTAACTCAGTAAAATGCCAAAAGCCCAATAGTTTTTATTTTCCGCACAGACCTAATTAAACACGCTGATTGGCTTGCAAAAATATTTGGACATTGTAAATCATATTTACGGTTTGGATTTCAGAAATATTCTGTGCTTTGAATGCTGATTTGTTACATTTATTAAAACAACATTTTTCTGGCACTAAATAAACTCAAAAGGTGGAAATTATCAGGCATTTCATTCAGTATTCTGTATAAATAATAATATATTTTAAATATTTTGAAATTTTTAAGTAGCTTTTGTATATTGTAACTCAACTTGTGAAAAGAGTGCTCTGACAAATATTTTTGAACGATTGATCCATTATTTCCTTTACAGTCAGCAGTTCTATTATTTGTTCCCCTATTAATTCAAAAATTTACAAAAACATTAAAAAAATGTTCCGCCAGCAGAAGGGCATCAATATATATGTGCCGCCGGTGAGTAGTTTTCCGGAATCCAGTTTGCTGGGCGGCTACGGATTGCAGGACCGCGTCGAACTGCCCAAGACCACGGAGGTCCTTGAGGATGTCCTTGGGGAGCGGGAGAAGCACTTCCTCTACGTAATCGATAGTCGGGGACGCCTTTTGGAGCAGCTGCGATACGACGGCAATGATTACCGGCTGGCTCTGCGGGAGTCCTTCGCCCAGGACGCCCAGGTGTTCGTTCATCAGGATGCATCGACGAATCAGGATCTGAAGAGCGAGAAACCGTTCCAGTGCCACCAATAAATTCCACAGAATCATCGGTATTCCGTCAGTGATTAAGTTAATCAACTGTTTCAATTAAGCCACTTGCTTTGCTCGATTGGCTGGAAATTCAAGCAACAATCCGCCGTAATTACCAACGTTTGCCATTATCAAGGCAAAACTATACTAATAAATAAATCTTTAAAAACTTCCAGTGAACTCGTGATCAAGAATTTACTTTTAGAGTGCATAAAAAAAGAGTGCACTAAAATTTTGCTTTAAAGCTAAAATTATATTTATGCAACGTATTTAAAGAAAATAATTCTTTCACAAAGCCGAATTAGGCTTAATGTTAAGTATTTTTAAAAATCAATTTTCAATTAGAAAGTATTATGTACTATAAACCATTTCGTTTTGATTTAGAACTCTATGTCAAAACAACTAGAATTAATTCTATGAGTCTGGAATTTTTGTTTAAGCGCATATGTTTTTTTTTCCGATCTGCCAAATTGTGTGGCAAGTGGTGCACAACATTTCGAATCATATTTGTACAACAGATGAGCCACTTCAGCGAATTTTCCCACTATTTCACTCACACGAAGGGCTGATATAAATATTCGTATTTACTTTCTGGTCACAATTTGTAAAAACCGAATTCTTCAATGTTTTTTTTTCTGTTAACGTGGGTTGAAAAGTTGAAAAATAAATAGCGTGGAAAGCGAATTGCATTTGCATCGACATGTGTTTGGCATTCAGATGGGTTCAGAATCTGCATTTGTGTCTGCACCTGCAAATGAATCTGTATCTTTATCTGAAGGTATTTGCGCGGGTTACTTCGTTGCATAATGTGGTTTTTATGACAAAGGATTTTAACGAAATGCTTTTATTCACTTACAAGGTGTCGAGTGATATTTATACAACGAAATGTGGATTTTAAGCAAGGGTGTAGCATATTGTATATTTCAAAATAATCGCAATACAAATCAATGCAGTAATTAATCTTGATTGTAACTTATCTTTTTAAATCTTCTTTCAGCTTTTTTTTAAGCTTTTCTATAGTTTTTTGGTTTTATTTGGAACTTATTTTTACCCTTTCGTGAATGTAAATAATTGAGCTTGCACAAGTATTACGTACTCGACCCGTTGCCCTCTTGCCAACCGCAATTTATGACTTTCTACAGAATCCTGGCTAGCTGGCTTAAGGATCTGGTATTATGTTAAATTTTATGTGTCCTTGCCATGGCAACAGGTCAAAAGGCCTCAGGAGACGGTCAACACGCCAGGACAACTGGATAACACGGCGACTCCTTCGACGCACTTAAAGCCTTGCGAATTATTAAAAAGGGAAAAATTCAACTCCATTGCCATAGCAGCCAATTTGCCCACACGTAAACACCTGAGCTGCCATGGAACTAACCCAGCTGAAAACCATTTAGCTCTCTAATTGGACGGTTATATGGCGTTTTTGTTGCGAATTTGGCAGGGATGATGCGATTTGCAATCACTGTCATGCCAATTTTGATCGCTGCCTAAAATGAAATGCGAAATATGTGAGTTGCATTTCGAAGTGGTTTTACAAACTATTTGTTGTTGAGCATTTTTAAATAGTTTAAACAAAATTTGGATACTTATTTTTGGTTGATTCAAAGTTACCAATGATTTAATTTAAATATGTACAAAAGTAAGTATCATTTTTTGCTTTAGTCAAGAGTGTATGAATTAATCATGCAAAAAATATGTATTATTCAAGACATTTTAAGTGTGTGAAGCTTTGCTTAATTTGTAATGAAGTTTATACAGATATTTAAGGTTAAAATAATAAACCCAAATTATATACACCAAAAACCGCTTAAAACTTGTATTATTTGATAATAGCTAAGCAAATAGTTGTTAAGCGCCACGATTAGTAACTTTTGAGTATTTTGTGCAACAGTTGTTCAAAAGTAAAATGCTCTTGCAATGAGAAATCACTGAAACAATTTTAAACAGACTCAAAGTTATGACCTTAAAAGGACCGATTTTGGGAAGAATTGGTCGCCAGGAAAAAAGAGTGGCTTTCGGGCAGGTTCGCAGATTCTCGGCACGGTGCCCCTTCGAATAAAAAAACCAACCACTGGTGCGCTGAATAGGCTTAGCCAATCCCGGCGGATACGGGGATTCTCCGCCGGATTTTCGACGCCTTCGCGTCTGGGGCATGCGCTGAATGTACGCCGGGTGCGAGCGAGAGAGCTGATAGCGGTGCGAAAGAGATAGGGAGACGGCGAGGAGTTTGTTATCGGTGTCCTTGGCGGGGGCACAAGGCTCATGGTTCACAATTCACGCCTCTCAAGGCTAACCTGTTGACCAAGTGCATATTGCGCATACGCCCCGTATACGGCGCACAAGTCCAACAGGTAAGCCGCTGGCGTAGGCGTTGCACATAACCGCCCACACACACACACAAACATAAATTCATGGCGGCAACCAGCCACCCAACCACTGAACCACCCAACCACCCAACCACCGAACCACCCATCCACCGAACCACTGAACCACCCAACATACCGAAACCTTGCCGTTGGCAATCCAGCCAAGGCTACAAGGCAAGGCGCCAATAGCAATGATCTGCGGAAATCAAGTTAGCAGAATTACTGCAAGCGGCGTTCGCACTGGATGCAATATGCACCTTATTCCGACCTCACCTTTTCCCTCATTCAGCAACCGCCGCCGATGATGAGGGAGTGCACTTATTTATTCAATAGGTTATACGTCCCATTCAAAATTTATATCTCGACCCTAACTAATTGCCTTCGATCACAATACTAAGTTTGTTCCAACTATTTTTCACATCAAATTAAATGCAATATTTAAAAAACTCTTTTGGTAGAAATTTTTTACTTAAAAGTAAGTTGTGTATTTAAATTGTATTTAAAAGGAATTTTACATTAAGCAAATCGATTTACTGAAAAAATGTTGTATAATACGAGTATATGTTTTAAATAAATAACAAGAAACTTTGCAATAATATTTTATAAATTAAACAGACACTAATAGCAAAATATTTGTTCAAGGTTTTCAACCTGCATATATTTTTTATGGTTTAAAGTTCCATTAAATTACTTACTTAATATTTAATTGAAACCAATTTTAACTGACAGTGTTCATAAAAAATATTATTAATTTTAATTTTCATTATGAATATGAGAACTAAAATAACCTTTAATACGTATATATATTTCTATAGGTATGTATATTATATTTCAATAATTAATTCATAATTTAATCTTATTTACTTTCTTTTATAAAATAACACCAATTTACGTTTAAAAACGTTTTAAATTTTTTTTTTGTTTCCTTAATTATTTAGTCATACCCTTTAGTAGAATAGAAAATGGTTCTTCTGTAGAAAGGAAATCTCCCATTAAGTAAACGTTTCATTTTAAAAATAGAATAAAGAGACAAAACATAAGCTCAGACATCTAAATTCAATTTGCCATGACATTTTCCACGGTGTTTTGAAAGGATTAGCGAACGTTTAAAAAAAGCCCGTCTTCGGAAAGGCGAGCAACATCGGTTGCAACATCAGAAGAAGCCACCACTTCCCCTAATCAGCGATTCAGCGAGCTGAGCTGCCACTTCCCCTCAATCGGCAGCAACCCCCGAAAAATAATACGGGTATTGGCAGTGGCACTCCGTCGCATCACCTGGGTGCCACGTAAGCCTGTTGCTGTCGCAGCTGCTGATGTTGCTTGTTGTTGCTGGTGTTGTTGTTCCTGCCACTTCGACTGTTGCTGCTGTTGCTGTTGTTGCTGCTGTTGCTGTTGTTGCTGTTGCTGCTGCTGCTGCGTCGTCATGGTCGTCGTTACAGTTACACACTTTCCACTTGTTGTTCTTCGAGGGGGTGGACTGGGTGGTCTCCTTTTGCAAGAGGGGTTGGTGGTTGCTGGGTGGCACGCAGCCGAGAAGTGCCGAGAACGTGCCACACGAGGTGGCCTCGTCAGTTGGCCAACGGCGGAGCAACAGATGCTGTTCAACATCCAAGCCAAAAGGTTGTGTGCCTCGCAACAGCAAAGTCGACAGGAGCAACAGCAACAGCAACACACGGCAACCACGGCAGCAACATCAACAGTTCAACACTCACTCAGAGGAGCAACATGCGAGTCGCATGCTGCAAGTAGCGAACGTGCAACAAGTCAAAGGACAATACGCCTTCCAATTGCTTTTTTTTTGAAAGTGCCAAAAAAAATGTGTGTTTTTGTGTCGAATTCCAATTCCAATCCATGCCCAACAGTATTTGTTTGTCGTGAACCGAAATCAATGCAATAGTTATCCGAGCACCCGTCGAACCACTCAAATTACCTGAGAGAGCAGCCACTGAAGTACAAGAAAACCACACAGAACTACCTACCTGATATACTCTACTTCTACTCTACTCACCTGAAAGCCAATTAAGCCATTAAAGCCATACTCTGAGGACCTGAAAAGCAACAGATGCTTTAACCCCAAAAAACAAAGCCGAAAAGCAGAAAGCAGAACAAAGAAAGAAAAACCGCAGATGCCAAGGCAATTTTAAATGCCAAAACGCAGGGAGAAGAAAGCCTAAGCCGAAAAGGTAACCAAAACCGAGGAAACCAAGTTCAAACGAGGCCGAAAACCAGTTAAGAAGATAAAATCATGTAAGTTATGAAACTACTCCATTTATCTAGTCTTTAGGTATTTTTCAAGTATACATTTCGCCTAATTTGATTTACTCGATTCGTTTTGTTTATTTTTTTAATTTTTACATTTTGTTCGACTCAATGCACTTCGAAATAAAATGCTAATGGCTTAAAACGACAATCGAATTGGTGAAAAGGTTAGCAGCTGACAAATCTAAATGCCGCAATTGTTCTTCGCAATTACCATTTTGAGTTTTGGGGGCAGAGAAGGAATTAATTACGTGGCAATTGTTATGCAAATTTATTAAATAATTGCGTTTCCTGTGCAAGGCCATTATTATTTATCTTGTCAATATTTGGATTAACTTAAACCCTTTGAAACGTTTAATTAAATATAGTTATGTCAAGCCACATACGCTCATAACACAGAACAGAAAGCCACTATCAAGCAAATGGCACACAAATGACAGTCAGGCTTAGAAAACCAAACAGTGCAAATGGAATTCCAATCGTTTTAGAATTTCTCTATGTTGCTTTAGTTAAAATGTAAATTCCGAACTCTGCAGAAGTTCCAACTTAATTGAGTTAATTGAGTCCTGCATCAAAACCTAAACAGAATAATTAAATTTATTGGCTTAGCAAAAATTAGACAGCAGATAAGAGATTTCATCTGCAATTCAAGTAATATCTAAAATCCCAAGTGGTTTTTACTTCAAAGAAATATTTTCTACACTTGAGGGTATTTTCGTAAAAGATTTCTCCGAATTTCGGTGGAAAAGCTGCTCTTTCTGGTTAGGAAAACAGATTTTTTAATTAAATAAATCAAAGTACAGGAGTCTCTAGTTTTCCGGTTGCTGTTTATTTGCCTGTTGAGGAAACTTTGTTTCGAATTGGTAACAACTTACTAACTCATCGGAAACGGAAACACGCCTCCGACATTTCGCTTAGATAGTTTTGACTTGTCTGCGAAGTTTGGCTTCCAATTGCCTCACTTCTGTTGGCCATTTGTTGGTTTCTCGGCTCGAATTGCCGACCCCTTTTCCCAGGTAAGTACATTTTAAAATATTTATTTAAATGCCGATATTCAATTAACAGAAAACATTTAGCACAGCAGAATATATTTTGTATTGAATTTGTATTCGGGCGCTATTAAGTATTCATTATGCCATTTCATTTAATTGTGTCAAGAACGTCAGCTTTATGAATAATTGGTAGTATTAATTTATTAATTAAGAGACCATAACACATAATTTTCGTAAATGCATAACTGATTTTAAGGCCATTAGAAACTGCACTTCATTAGCTGCCATTAAACAATTTATATTTTAAGAGTTCTTCATAAGTAAAATCAGCTTTGTGGATTAAATGGTATTATAAATTAATTAAGAGTTCATATCACATATTTGTCGTGTATGAATACCTGTTTTAAAATCCATCAGACATCACGCATTGTTTGCAGCTTTGGAACATTTAATATAATGAGAATTCCTGATAATGGTTTATTCTTGGAATAAAGCACATCTGTTTGTTGTTCATAGAAAAAGCTGCTTACATTTGAAATTTCTCGAAAAATCTCCATATTGAAGTACTATACTTAATTGCAAAATTCGTCAATGTCAGGGAATTTTTAGCCAAATTACTGTTTTCACATAATAACCAACGCCATTAGCTGATTGCTCTCCAGAAATATATATCAACTGATTAGACGTTGTGCGTCTAGTTATTTTGACAAGGCTGTTACCTATCAGATGATTTGGTTTGAGTTGGGCGACGACTGTGTTCGCCTTCTGCTGCCCTTTTTTAGGCTGGACCAATTGTTGGAAACTTTTGGGGTCCTTTTTTACAGCAACACCCATTAACCCAGTGAAGCTCCCTCAACGGGGGCATTGTTCCTGCCCCAAATAAATGAGCATTTATTTATAGAACCTGTTTACACAGACACACGCCCAGCAATGATTGAATCGACTTGACTCAGTGTGTGTGTGGTTGTGTGTGTGTGTGTGTGTGGGGGTGTCGAGGTGGGCACACATGCTTTAAGGGGCGGCGGGAGAGGGTATTTGTTCGACAATCATTTGTAAAATCCGGGACATTAGGCTCCATGATGCCTGACTGCCGATGCTAAGCGCACTGCAAAAAATATTACGAAGCCTTTCTACCACTTTAATCATCAATCAAATTTATTGTTAGTAGAATCAACATCAGAACAACCTACATACGAAGCTCTCACTTAATTTATAATATTTTATCTAACCTGAACTCCGATATAAAAATTTCTTAATATTGATCAGACAAACAAAAACCAAAATCAAACTATTTTATAATGCATACTTTTATTGTACAGTTTTGCTTAGATACAATTATGGTCAAGCATTGGTTTCTTACAATGGAAGTACGGAATACGATGTAAATTGTTTCATAAAAAATCTTGCTTTTAATTTATTTAAACTTATTCAGCTTTCAAACACGTAATTTCCTTGAAACAATCGTTGGTGTTTCAGTAAAGTTTTTTAAGTACACTAAAATGTACACAGTTATGGAACATTTTCTACCCAAACAGCGCTCTAAATTTATTAAATTTCCATATACCGTGGGGTATTTCTCTCGGTGTAGCCACTCCTCGCTGTGACTTCTCTCCTGCGCTCATTAGTAGCACATTTACCGTGTACGTGATTTAGCTGCAAATGTGCAAAGGACCGTCGGTCCAACCGACTGAATCCCTGGCTCCGTGGCTCCCTGGCCCCATAATAATGGTAACTGTTGCTTGTGCCCGTTATAGTCCCCCGATCCCCTCTATATCCCATATCCCATATCCCATTCGTATTCGTGGCCCCAGACATGTGTGCGTCTGGGAATTTGGTCACATTTGCATTTCGGCGACGTTGCAGTCGAAAAGAAAGAAGCGAAAAGGGAAGGGGAAAACGGAAAGAGAAAATGAAAATGAAAAAGCGGAAGTGGCTGCGATCCAGCTCTCAAGAGGTTAACAACTTTCCACGAAGGAAAATGTAGTATTGTGTCACTTCGGGGAAAAGTTTGTTTGTGGATATGTTCTTAATAAATTTTTAAAAACGTATTAATGTTACTTGATGTATGTAGACAAATTATTGCTTGATATTAAATTATAAATATCAATTATTGTTTAGCACAACTAACTAAAATCCTTATGAAATTAATAGTTTTAAATTTTCAAGCGATTCTCTATGTTAGTTATAATGGCCTTTAAAAATGATTTAAAACCACTTAATGTGCAAAAAGCATCAAAAAACTACCTCTGCTTAAATATTTATTTGACACACATTTCTTTTAAATACCTTGTGTCCTCCCAAGGACTAGAAAAAGGCAGTTTACCGAAAAAGGACCCGTGCATTGTGTCCCGAGTGACAGTATCTTTTTGAGTCTCCACTCAGGCGAGGGCATTTCTTTACCGCCAGTTAACTGCCATCGATAAACGGCTATTCACTTCTGCGAGAATGGCTTCAACACACGCATACACACATACACAAATACACACACACCAGCAGACTGGCAAACTGATCAATGGCTGTCACATTTCCGGAACATCGAGGAGTTTCCGGTGCGAGGCGAAAAGTGGGTTTACACAGTCCCTTCCTTCCGATTGGCCACACACCCTCTCTCCAAAAAAAAAAAAAAAAAAAAAACATATATACTATATACATATATATATATATATATATAAGGGAAAATAAAGAACTCACCTACCAAGTTACACTTATGGTCCAATGAAAATTTTCACTCAATTACACTTTAAGACTTAATTCTCCAAATTGAAGCAAATGTCGTTAACGGAAGTGGGCCAGTCAGTCAGCTAGCGCACACACACATGCACACACACACACAAGCCCAGGAAATACCCACACTAAGGCACTCACACACACAAGCTAAACAAACATATTCTTTGTCATGGCTTCCTGATGCGCTCTCTTTTTTTCTCCTTTATTTTTTCCCACGTCTGTCTGTGTGTGTGTTTTTGCATTTGTGTAAGTTGTCCGGGTGTGTGTGTGTGTGCGACAGCATTTGCAATGTTGTGGTTTTCATTTGTCAACAAAAGCTGGGTAAAACTCGGAAAAAAATGACACAAACTAATTATAGTTAATTGCGGAGCAGTGGCAACCAGTTGAGTTGCACTACCGCCATTTTGCGGTTTCCAAATTGCATATATAGTCGTATATTGATATATGTCACACTCGCAAGTGGCGCGACCATCGATCATAATCGGATTTTAATAGAAAGCCAAATATCAGTGCCCCATTAATCACTATTTGATTGGTTTCTCGGTTAGCCAGACGATTGGATTAGGTTGACCAACGGGAGGAGGGCATTTGACATGGATATATAATTGTAATGGTTAAAGGGAGTTAAAGGAAGTCGAACAATAGTTATAAGGACTTTAATCTGCAAAGAAAAGTTTAAGTTCTTAAATGATTGTTCGAAGAGCAGTAAAATTCTTCTAAAATTTAAAACTTAATATAGATAAATTTATAAAAAATAATGTTATTATAGATTCGTAAATTTGTATGTTATTAGAAACGACAAACATATTTTCCAAGAGTATTCCCAAGCAACCGATGACAGATTACTGTAGAAAGGTTTCTTTATACCTTTTTAAATGCCAGTTTAAAGTAATGTCTCAAACATTTACTAAAAGTTTTTTCTAGCCACCAATGACAGCATTTTGTAGCACATGTTTCGGACTTGTAAAAGTGCTTCACCCAATGGGAATAGTGGCAAAAACAGCAGACTGATCTCAAACCGTTGGGGATTTTTACGGTTTTGCGGTTTGTTTTCTTGTTTCACTTTAATCTCTCGAAGTTGGGAGCACTTTTGGCTTATTCGTGAACTCCGAGCAGCCGCAACTGACAGATCTGGTCTCAGCAATTCCCGGTATTGCAGTGCCACCTACCCAAACCCCAAAAAACCCCACCCCTCCCCCCAAACACGCACACACATAATAGATTTCCGCACACACACACACACACATGCATGCATCGGGCAGCACTTAC